AACCTTCATTTATGCACCATATTTATTCTTTTTTTTCTGTTCTACAGTATCAAATACATGCAGGTCTATGTAGAGGTATTTGAGATGTTTAAGCTGTAGTTACCAATAATGTAACATAACAGATCAATGTAACAACAGGCCAGACTTTAAAACTTGTCTTGAGCCTGAAACTATCCATGCAACAGAAGGTTAAATCAGAGACTTTTGCAAGGATTGGACTAGATCTCCTCTATAACATTTTACTTACTCTGATGAGAGTCTTCAAATGTCTTTTTGATTTTTACAGTACTGCTTTAGTTTTAGTATTTGCTTTTGTGTTCATATGAATACTTGAGAACAGTCTTCCTTCTCAATTCACGTTGTTTTCTTGTTATAAGAAAAAGAGCAAAGGAAATTTCAGTGCTTTGCCTACAATACTGCTGAAGAGCATTAGTGTCAGCATTATCACCTGCATTGCAGTATGGCAACATCTAGATAGTCCTTTCAGTGCCTTGGGCTACCATGTGGCATGGACTTTGATAAGTCCTCAACTTCAGCTCTATTTCTGAAGTGTTTGAAGCAACTGCTTTTCTTTCTTTGGATGTTGCAATGGACAGTGAATCTGTTTACTTACATCCAAAGTTAATATCAGCCCACTGGTAATTTTTAACTATAGCAGCTAATGATTAAGGAATCAGAAAGATAGACGTTATGGTGCTTCAGAGAAGAAAGCTTTCTGAGTTGAGTTGTTTGTTTGGATTTTTTCAAGTGCTAGTGCAGATGCTTTTATTTCCATATACACAAGGACAGTGGGCAAGGCAGAGGGGACTTCTTAAGAAACCGTCTGAGTTCATTCTTGGTGCTATGTTCCCATAGTAGTATGTATGCCTAGGGCCTCTTGGCTGGCTAGGAGACTGCAACTGGTTCTAGCAGAGGACAGTGTGGTCACAACACACAATTCTGGCTGGGCATACAGTATTATTGCCTCTTTGGACACAAAGACATCTGTCCACAGGACACTCCAGCTGTTATGAAGGCTACTGAAAGCTCCTCACAGCTGCCCTGTTTTCTGAATTGGTTCACTATAGAGTGCCACAAAAAATGTCTATTTCTGTAATGTTATTTTGATTTAAAAATACTACACCAAAGGCAAAATATGGTACTTCTTATGGCAGGCGTTTAGGAAGCAGAACTGTTGGGAGGTCTGAAGGTACAGGAAAAAACTCTTAAAATTAAAAACTGCTAAAAATTTTACTCTGCTCAGCTCCATTCAACAGGCAAACTATGAATTTGCCTTTGATGTAAGCAAATAATGCAACATGTGTTATATTGGTGGAGATGTATTAAATACAAACTTTACAAAACCAGCTTTGGACATCAGAGGAAAATGCTGAACTTAATTTTTTGTGGATTTTGTTTGTGGATTAATCAGAGAGAGCTACTGGCATGAACTTCTGGGATTCCAAAGCAAGAAGGTCCCTATGTAAATTCGAGTTAAGTAGGAAAAGTAAGTTAGGATCAAAAGATGTTTTTGGATTTTAACTGATTCATGTGATATCTGTGTGTTTCTGTACTAAGGATGAATGTGTATTCAAATTAAAGTTTATCAAGCTGTACGGCCAAGTCAGATATGGCAACACACTTTCTGAGCCCTTTCTAATAAAGAATGGTGTGAAACAAGGCTGCGTTCTTGCTCCTACCTTATTCACAGTCTTTTTCAGCATGATGCTCCAAAGGGCCATGGCAGACCTCGATGATCAGGACGGTATCTACATCCGATACCATACTGATGGAGGCCTATTCAACCTAAGGCGACTGAAGGCCCACACCAAGACCTTAAACCATCTTGTCCGGGAGCTGCTTTATGCTGATGACACCTCCCTTGTCGCTCACACAGAAGCAGCTCTGCAGCATTTAACATCCTGCTTTGCAGATGCTGCTGAGCTCTTTGGGCTGGAAGTCAGCTTAAAGAAGACAGAAGTTCTCCATCAACCTGCACCTCAGGAAGTCTTCCTTCATCCCCATATCACCGTTGGCAAATCAGAGCTCAAATCAGTCCAGCAGTTTAATTACCTAGGTAGCCTCATCTCCTCGGATGGTAAGATTGACAGAGAGATAGACAACAGATTAGCAAAGGCATATAGTGCTTTTGGAAAGCTTCATAAAAGAGTTTGGCGAAATAAACACCTGAAGAAAAGTACAAAGATCAGTGTTTACAGAGCCATAGTGCTGGCTGCTCTCTTATACAGATCTGAATCATGGGTCATCTACTGCCACCACCTGCGTCTCCTAGAACGCTTCCATCAACGCTGCCTCCGTTCAATCCTAAATATCCACTGGTCAGATTATGTGACCAATACATCTGTTCTAGAACAAGCAGCAGTCACAAGTATATAGGCCATGTTGCTGAGAACACAGCTGCGCTGGGCAGGGCACGTCTCAAGGATGAAGGACCACCGCCTCCCTAAGATCGTTCTCTATGGTGAACCTGCCACCGGCTGCCGCAAGAGAGGAGCCCTGAAGAAAAGATACAAGGACTCCCTGAAACAACATCTCAGCCTGGGCCAGATTGATCAGCATAACTGGTCTGCTCTGGCCTCCAATCGGGAGGTCTGGAGACACACCATCTATAACGCTGCTGATGCCTTTGAGAAAGCACGCAGGATCACTCTCGAGGAGAAAAGACAACGCAGAAAGAATCGTGCCTTGCAGAATATACCACCTAAGGAGTCTTTTTACTGTGCCTTTTGCAATCGGACGTGCCTGTCTCGTATTGGCCTTTTTAGCCACCAACGCGCCTGCAACAAACGTGGGTAAAGCCCTTCCCAAATCTTCGTTCGCGAAGCCCAGCCATGACATGACATTATCAAGCTGTAAAAAACCCATGTTCAGAAGCAAGTGTTTTAGGCAAGTGTAATTGGCAAAACAGAGGAAGTTGGATGTGTTGTTGAAGAAATTCTTTACTTTCTGCTTATTTTGGAAGTGAAAGTTAAAGATACTGATCTGAATAAGGATGAGCTATTACACGAACCTTTAATATTTATTTTAATCCTTAGTGTAAAGGTCTTAATAGTCTGGGGATCAGTCTTAGTAGCTGGAAAGGGTAAAGGAAAAGATGGAATTCTGAAAAAGCTTGAGTAGTTTATTCCTCTAAAAATATGTTTAAATCTCAGTTGTTTACGGTTTTTTTTCCTTTTGTTTTGGGCATGAGTGTTTGTGGTTGGGTTGGCTTTTTTTTTTTCTTTTCCCAGGCAAATGGGAATATGTATAGAAGCAAGAAACAGAAGTAGCTGAATCATTTGCAAAGTGATGAAAAATGTGCTATCTGAAACGTAGTGCTGAAGAAGTAATGGATTTGTTCTTCAGCTTCTGTATTTTATGGCATTTTTCTGAATTTCTTGCTTAATATCTATTGAACAATAGAGTTTAAATTCACAAAATAAAATGCTGATGAAATCAGTGTCGAGATGTAGACATGTACAGTTCTCTAAAACTGTTTTTCTGGATTTTTTTTTTCTGTGTTTTGTTTTGCAAGATACCCAAATTTGCTGATTTTTGGAGCATGGTGATTTGGGTTTACTGTGAATTTAGTGGAGAGCAAAGGCGAAGGGATTGGAAAACCAGCTTAAAATGCCCATGTATTTACAATGTGTAAGAGACTGAGAGAGCTGTTAGGAATTTGCATCTTGTCTTGTTATATTGAATAATTAGTCTTGCATTTGAAATTATTTAATAATTGAAATTTAAAGGGCTGTTGAGACTGCCATTTGAGATTTGTCTTTTCATATTCTGCTTTCAAGAGCATCATTTGGAGGCCAAACAATTTTATTATGATAAATGGGCTATTGATAGGTTCTAGTCCCAGATTCTCATCCTGTTGCTAGTTTTACAAGCACTCTTTTTACAGGTCTCCTTTTTCTGACTGGGAAATTTTTGCAGACATAGTCTTAGTTACAATAAATACAAGTCAATACTTTGAGCCTGCTGTAGTTAAAGAAAAAAGTCATTAGAACTGTTTTTCCCCCCCGTCTTATCTGTAGTATGTCTGTATATAAACTTGTGTGCATGCCCTCAAAATGATTACAGAAAGGTAAGTAATAACCCCTGTAGCACAGTACTAGCATGCTAAACTTTTTCTTCTGTGGGTACAGCTGCAAACCACTCCAACATGGGTGGAGGAAAAGGTGCCTGCCTCCGTGAGCTCTCTGGTTTTTTTTGCACTTCCACAAGTGCTGGTATGATTCTGCCATTTCCTGAACAAGGTCCTATGGAAATTCAGGCTTTTTTCTGCACATTTTCTCCTTAAAGTGACTCCAATAAATTCTAGAAATGACCAAACTGAATGAATGAGGGTTAGGACATCACTTTGCAGTTGCAGTTGATGGTCACCTTGTGTCAACTGTAATTTAATGAATTTATTTAGATACAGAAATTAACTAGTGTTCGCTGCTTTTTTTTGGTCCTGTTGAGACTTAATGATTATTTTTTTAAAAGTTTATCTCCTTTATTGCTTTGTTTAAGGTTCTTTATGCCACTTTTAACTGTGTAGGTAATTGGCTGTGGAGAGGAAACATTAGAACTAGCAATGCAGATTTAGCAAAAGTGTGAATATCAAAATTAAGGCTATAGCTGTGCTTTTCTCCTTTTTTATTTTTCTTTATACAACTCTTGTTCATTAAAAGAGGATAAATGTAAAACCTTACGCTAATACTGCATTACAGATGCAATTTTGAATGAGAAGAGAACACTGATAGATGTTTCATGTGGTTCTAATAGCATAGGTAATTGAATTGTATTTAGATTATGGGTACTAGTATTTCAATTTTTCAGTATGAAAGAGTCAAAATATTGCTTTAAATGTATGATTTTGTAGTGTCTTTGACCACTGGCATGGTAGTTGTGCTTTTCAGTTGCCACCTAAATTTTTAGTTAGATTATCTTGAGATTTTCAGGAAATATTAATAGTCATTAAAATAGATTAAATTTGACCTAATGTTTATCTTCATTGTCATTTCTTTAAGGCCCTATTGAATTCGAAGAATGCAACACATCCAGTGTAGTTGAAGGTGAGTTGCCATGGCATAGTTATTTACATGAGAATGCTATGAGGCAAAGGGTACTCAGTGTGTGAATCTGTATAACTTTGAAGTGCTCCAGTAGTCTAAAAAGCAGTTTTCCTTTTGGGAAACAAAATACAGTGACAATAAGACTAATGCACAAATGTTAGAGAATTTGAGTGTTTATATCAAGTATATTTTGGCTAAGCCCTGTCTTTGCAGAGGTTTGGATTTAATTCATTTATGACTGTGTTGTAACTTAATTTACAAGTGTCAAAACATGGCCCAGGCTCTTCCCATTGTTACCATGTTAGTTATACCAAGTCTAATGTAGTGTTATGGTTGCAAAGTCTTTCTTTGTTGCCATTGCTTATTTTGCTTAGGGGATTGTTTTAAGTGATTAAGAACTGCTTTATGTCCATAAGCTATGTATTTACTTGTGAGACAGAGGAGTTGACAGTATAACTGTAGCATATAAAAACTTTTAAGTTGCCAAAGTTTCAGCTGAGTCTTAAAATCTCTTGACTGAAGCAGAGAGCATCTGTATTCAGAAATTACTCTCGTACTTTGTTTGCCATTGTTTTGGGCTGCTTAAGGCACAGAAAGAAAATAAAATAAAGCCTGGACATTTAAAAATAATCTTGGAGCAACTGATGTGCCTCTGTATATATGACTGACTCTACAGCTAACTGATTTGAGAAGTTTTGAGTTACTGAACCCTGAAAATTTAAGAGAGGGGAGAGACTGCACTTACGCACTGTGTTATGTATTACTATGAAGGGGAGTATAATAAAGTGCTTGAATTGTCAGTTGTTAAATTTTGGAAACCAAATTATTTCCACTATTCTGCTCAAAAGCATGCTCTCAGTAGTATCATACATTGAAACAAAATTATAGACTACAGTTGGATCAGATGCTTGCACGTTGTCATTTTGTTTGCAAGTCCACTTTGCTTAAGCAAACGCTGTAAGAAGCAGATGTGACAGTAAGTCTGATGGAATATTTAAATGTATTTTAATTTTAGTACATTAAATGGGAATGAAAGCAAACTTTTTTCAGTACTGTAGCTATATGTATCCAGTGCTAAAAGCAGGAAAGAACAAACAGAGGGGAACCATGATTCCAGACTCAGTGAGAACCAGTCTTAGAGCTGGCTACAGCACTGGGAAATCATGAGCTCAGCATCAGGTGGAAATCCAAGAGACAATCTCCTTTTTATAAGGACCAAGATCCTACTTTTGAGGAAAGACAGGGTCTTGCAGCTGCTGGGAACATGCGGAGAAATAACAGCAGGGTATTGAACTGCAGTAGCTGGGGAAGGCAACGTTCTGTTTCTATCCAAGTGCCTTGGCTATTCAGGATCGCCTGGACCAATAGCTCCTGTTGAGTTTCTTTGAGCAGAGTCCTGTTCCTCAAAATTGCCAATGCACCTCTTGTCAATCAAAAACCACAGTCTTCGTACCCAACTTGGAGATGCAAATCAGTTTTATAAGAACCTAGGTTATTAATGTGAACCATATTTAGATTTTATTTTTTGATTGGTATGTTAATTAAAACAAATTGTAACAATGTTCCCTTAGTTTTGCTCCATACCTCTCTCCACTGTTATATTTTTATAACAACTGAGGCCAGTGTTTGACAGTACTAAACATGTATTTATCTCCTTGATCTTTAAATGAAAAGTGTTTGTTCTGTAGGAATAAAACCACGGAAGAGGAAGCCTTTTGGTTTATCAGGAATAATGAAAAAAGAAAAAGATACTGAATCTGTGTAAGTATATTTCCATCCTGAAGCTGTGTCTTATATGAAAACTAGTAAAAGCATGGGAGTAAAAATCAGCTGATGTTTAACCGAAAAAAACCAGGTTTATAACTGCAATTTAAAGGAATGCAGTGAATATGAAAACATCATAGCTATTTATGGTTTTTGTAACCAAGGATTTTAAGGAAATAACTTAAGTGTATTCATAGTAGTCTAGTCATGTTGCATTCTTTCCTGTGCATAGGTAAATAGTTTTCCCTTCTCCTACATTTGAGTGTTGTAGATAATGTAATTTGCATGTGTACTCCTAACGAAATAGTAGCTCTGTGCGTGGTAAAAGTACTGGATGCCCGTGTGTGCAGAATTGAAGCTTTCAGTTATTCTTCCATCAGAAGAATATATAGTATATAGTATTGAAGGAGAGAAAAATCTTTGAATGTTTTTGCAATACATCATGAGCACACTCCCTGCTCAAAGACTGTCAAACTAGCTCAGGACTGATATCCCAGATATACATTTTGCCATATTGTCTGCATGTGCTCTGTCTGCCAGGAGTTAAACTTTCCAGAAAGTGAGTTTGAATAGTAGTTCTGAGATGGATTGGTCACAGTGTCTGTATTAGTAATTACGGTTACTGTATTTCAGTGTATTTTTTTCACAATTTCTATATGTGTTTCCTCAATGAATTAACAGAAAATAGCTTAAAATTTGACAAACTTAGCAGTATAGAAATATTCTCAGAGGCAACATCTGCATACATACTTTTTAAAATTACTTTTAAAAAGTATTTTACCAGCCTTCTTTACATAATGCTGAAAAATTCATGACCTAAGAAAGCAAGTGCTAATACAATTTTATTTCTACAAAAATGAATAGATTCTGAGAGCAGAAAGAAAAAGCTATGATGGCACGATATCAACCTCTATGTAACATGTGACATGGGCTTTTACAGAGATTCTTGCATTATTCCATGACTTCTAAATGAACTAGAAAATTGCAAATAAATGACATAGGATTCATTCTGCTTTTGTAAAATGCTCTAATACTTTTTTATGATCTCTTTAAAAAATTTTATTGCTTGTCTGTATTTTGTCTGGTTTCGTCTTCAGCTGATGATCCTGTTAAAGACTGCACATAAACTATGTCAGCAGAAACTTCTCTGCACATAGAAGTCAAGTCCTCTCTTAGTCTCTTGTTTTATTAGTCTATATACTTGTTTAGTTTGTGTAGGGCTAGTTTTCCACATCTAGAAAAACTCTCATGATTAGCAGACTTTTCAGTTTATCAAGACGGTTTTTAAACTGTTGACACCTGAACTGGTGGTGTGTCTAGTAATGCTTTTACATGGGGAAATACCATACAGGGTGTATTCTGTTGCATATTGTTATACAGTTTAGCCAAGGATTTAACTTCTTTTTCTAATCACTGCTTTGCATTATTTGATTGTTTTAGTTTTTATATACAATTGATTTCATTCATTTGCCTCATATTTCACATTTCTCAATTTGTATTGGACTTCAGTCTGTCTTGTTTGAGTACAGGCGCTTTTGAAACCACGTCTTGAGAGAATTCTAAGACTTTTTCTTTTCAAGCAATAAAATAGCTTTCAGAATACCTCTATTGCTATGAATTCAGTTCAGCCAGCAGAGGGAGATAAGATGTAAATCAACTAGAAACTTGGTAACATACGTCCTCTTTTATGTGAGGCCTCTGAGAGGAGATGAGATCCTTCATCTCGCTGCCAGTTCTTTAACAGGCTGTACTGCATTTCATATTAATGCTTCCATGTTAGCAAGTTTTTGTACCTGTTTTAATGCAATGTAGTAAAAACTGTGTTTTTTATATTTAACCTGTTTAGCTTTTCAGAGATGTTTTAGATTGCAATAAATTTTAATTTTTTTACACTTTTTTTCTCTAAGTGCATGTTTAGGATGTTCAGATTGATGATATAAAATCACTGTTGTTCAGTTACACGGTCACTTAAGGCTTTATTTGTCAGGATGCAAATTAGAGAGGACTTGTACGCTACTTAAATATTCCTACACATTTCTTCAAAGTGCTTACTAGGAGGGTACTCAGTTATTTTTTTTAGCATCTTCTAGTACTTGACTGCAACTGTGCTTGACAAACACATACTAAGAATGAAATTCTAGAAGGGGAGGCTTTGAATTCCTCTAAGAATAGTCTTAATTTCTTTGGGAACTGGTTATTGTCCAAAATGTTTTGCAATTGTATATGGACTATTTCATTAGCATTGATGACTTCCACTTGTTTCACACATCAACTGTGGAGACCTGAATCTTAAAGTATATTCATCCAGAGTACAGTGTGGTAGTCATCACTTTCCTTAATACTTTTTTTTTCCACCCACTAATATGCAATTTTGCTTTTTCATAATTTCTTTTGAGTTTTTCTTTTGCAGTATTTTGGTCAGCTATTGTTTAAATTTCATTCAGTTGAATGTGGATTATTAAAGTAAAAATTTTAATAGTCTGAGAGCCAAAGGGGTCAAAGGCACTGTTTCAAATTAATTGAAAATATTAAAGGAAGTATTTATAACTGCATGAATAAAATAACCTGAACATTTTATAATTGTAAATTTCCTTTTTTTTTTTCAATAGGGAGTGTCCAGATGCAGACTCAGTTGTAAGTACTTCTTTCTAAAATAAATGCATATGCTAATATTAGCAAGCACTACAGTCTAATGGAACGTAGTTTACATACAGTCCTTGAAATGCATTGTTTATCTGATAGAGGATTTAGTAGTTTCAAAGCATACTTAAAGTGTTAATTTTGCTCAGTAGGTAATCTTCAGCAGTATATACAAAGGTGTCAGTTACATTCAAGTACATTTTGAGTACGATAACATTTTGAGTAACATTTTTGTTGCCTAATAATTTTAAGTTTTAAGCAAGGTCTTTTTACTGCAAGTATATGTTACTTTATTCTTCAAGTTAATAGTTTAAATTCCTTGGTTAATAGATTTTAAGTAAGAAAAACGTTTGGGTTATTGTGGACTTAACTTTGTGTTACCATATTCCTCTTCTTACCACTGCTTCCTTTGAGAAATCCTTCTAGTATTGACGGCGTTCTGCTTTACCCCTGGCAACAGTGTAGGAATATACCCTTTAAAACATGGCTTTAAATGCAGTATGTCTAGATGCACTTTATTAATGGTCTGCTTTTCATTGATGTTAGTTTGATAGGTCTTACAATTTTATTTAATAAATTTTGATAAGTGACAGTTGCAAATTAAATTGGTATGTTAATGATTTTTTTATTTCCTTAATTGAATATTTTTATTTAAACATGTATGTTCTCTTGAATTAATGTGCAGCAGATATTGTAGCTCCCTATAGCTATAGTAGGCAAAAATCAACAGAATAATTTAGTAATTTTCTGGAGACTAATTTGTTTTCCAGTTCATTTATTTAGATGCCAATTATATTATACAATTTAAGTTTTAAAGTTCACTGTTTTGTGGATTTTCTTCTTTGTATTTAATATCTGGGAGGTTTTAGTAGCTAATATTAAAACTTCTTTTGAGAAACTTGATCTGAAACATCTACTGGAACCATTCTTCTAAACAGGGAAAAGTAAGTTTTGCCACATAACAAAACTATATACCTAAGAACAGCTGTGTAATCCTCATCAAGACAGTTTTTTTATACTGTGCAGTCATCTTGACTTAGAGCAAATTTCTTTTTTTGGGTACATTTAAAATAAAGTAACTTTGGAGTTGTCCTTACAATTATCAGGCTTTTCATGGAAGTAATATCGTTTGACGGTTCAGGTTGAGTCACTGGAGTGAACTGCAACTGGGTTTGACTTGCAGTGTTTATTTTCTTCTTTACTTATTTTGGTCTCCACATTTATTGAAAATAATTAGTTAAAAAATTCAACTATAAGTCGTTTGGACATTCTTTCTGGCTGCACTCCATATGATCACCTAAGTTAATTATTCTGTCTAGATATAAGTTATATTTCGTTTTTTGAAAGAGAGAACTAATTTTCGTTGTGTCTACCAATAAAAACAGATGCTTTTGTTGTATTTTCCTTTTTTTTTCCCTGCCCAATATTTTATGACTCTATTTGGAATTTAAAGTTCAGTCTGATTTCTTCTTGCTTTTTACAAGCAATAGTATTATTCTGAATATGGTGTTAGAATGCTTTAATAAACAGACACCATTACTGTAATTTTTGTGAAAACACGATGCAGCATACCACATATGAGATTTCATTTCACCCCTTACAAACAAGCACCCCAGAGTGCTTTTATGTTTTGTGGTTGGAGTCCTCTTCTGGAACGTCTCATTTCAAATATTTTTCATTTTTCTTGACTTTTGCTTTTAGATTTCCTTTCTGTTTAATTTTTCAAACTTCATCTAAATAATTATAGCCATCTATATTATTATCTCTATGAGGATTTGTTTTGTATGGATCTTTGCAATAAATTACACACTTCAAGAAATAGAACTTGGAAAAGTATTATTGAAAAAAATTTAAAGCAATTATAATTTTTGTTTGATTGCTAGGAAGTGCTGAGGACCAGACCTCAGAAAATTCAAGATGTCCCGGTTACAATTTTGGTCAGTCACAGAAAATCTGTCTGGCTTATATATGATTAACATAATCAATTTTTTTTAAAGGTGGCTTTTATTTGTCAAGCATTTTAATTGTGTGAAAGGACTGTCAGAGGTAACCATTCAACAATTATTTATAACTGTAGGCACTGAGGTAAATACACTGAAATTTTAAAAGTTAAGAGTTCAGTAATAGCTGACTTCAATACATTATCTACCAGTTCTACGTGTACTGTGCATCTTTGAATGCACAGTGTATACCATTATGGCCTTCTCACTAATCCAAAATGTATAATGCAGTATGTTTGAATTTGTATTCTCTGTTTCCAAAAAACAAAACAGTGAGACATCCTAAAAAATGTCTTTTGTCCAAAAGTGGAAGTTCTCAAATTTATCTGTGGCAAGCCACTTATGCTCATCCTTTTTGTAGCTGCCAAAATAAATTAATGAAATATTAATTCCTCTAAGTATTTTTGTTGTAACTGCCGTAAGTTTTCATGTGCTCATGAGTAGGAAGGTAGATGTGAACTGGGAACTGTTTTTTGTTAAAAAGGTTGACCACTTCAATGAGGAATCTCAGTTTAAATATAGGTGACAGTATCTCTTGAGATTTAAAATTTCTGGGTTTTTATATGTCAACCTACACATGTAACTTCCATTAAGCTAAGCCTTAGAAAATTAACAGTGTGAGCACTAGAAAGAGATAGCAGCTGAAGTCTGGCTCTGTATGTGGTTTTTGCCTAGAAAGTTTTTCTAAAGGATGAACTAATTGTCTTGTTTCCCATGGGTTTGCCATGTCTCTAGGGATGGTCTCTAGGAAGATAGGAGCTCTAAAAGAAACTTCTATTTTGGGGAAGCATTTACAATGTTCCACTTGTGTCCAGTAAGATCTGAATTGGAATTGCAACCCTTCTCTTGGTTGGGATACTTGCTGATCTCCTTCTTCTACTTGACTGCATATTTTCATGAAGAGTGTAGTAATGTAATTATCTTTGAGTTCTCTGTTCTGTCTGTCAAATCCATTTGAAATTGTCCAGTAAGTTTGAAAGTAATTAACAGGGGAGTCACAGATGTACAGAACATAATGCTTAAAGTTTTCTTCATGGGAAAGTGAAATGCAAACATATATCAAGGCATACAAGACTATTCATTAGCCTCTTCACATATGAGTGTAGCATAACTACAGTTATATAGAATTTATATATAATATAAATATAAAGACTTTTTATTGCTTTGGAACCACCAAATTTTAATAAGGGGAACACAAGTGTATTTAGTGAAATTCAAATGCTTTTCTTTCTTTGCGTTTTACAATGTTTCGTTCTGGCATATTTTGAATAGCTACCATTAATATAGAGTACCAGGCTTTCCAGTCACAGCACAGGATCAGGGGCACTTTGAATACCTGTTTTTCTTTCTTTCTGCATTTCTAACAATGGGAGAAACTGATTGTCTACTCTCTTCTTCTGTGTCTGTTGGCTTAATAGGCACCCTAAGGAGCGGAGGCCAATAATATGCCTCCGTCTTAACCTAAGGATATGCCAGAGTCAAATTTACATCTCAAATATGTCAAAAGTGGAGAGGCTTTTTGTTCTCTTGTTGCAGCCTATGAGCTTCAGCTGCTTACTTTGAATCCACTTCAGTCCTCATCTGGATTACAGGAAGTTGAGCTGTGGCATAAAAAAACCAGTGAGCTGTTCAGCTATGCCGTATCGTGAAGCATACCTTGAGGAAAACTTGATAAGGAGCTCTCATAACCACTTAGTTATCCCAGGACAAGACAAAGTGGAAAGAAATCAAACTGAAGCATAGTGAAGGTTCTTCACTTCTTGACTAATGAACCACCTGTAGGCAGCACTAGTGTTGCAGACGAAGGGCCAAATAAAGTAGCTACACTGCAGTATGCTCCTCATATTTCTTTCTTGTCCTTTGTATGCAGCCCAGAGATATTAATGACAGGGTAATGGTGTGACTTCTTCCATTGCTTTTGGGTGACAGGTGGGACAGAGCAAGGAAATTAAAATAAAAGTATTCACCAAAACTAAAAAATTATGTTTTGTCAATAGAATGCTTAGTTCTCAAGCTGTTTATGCAGGCAATTTTTCTTTTATTTACTGAGGTCTTGTTTTATTTCTTTGAAAATTTATTCATCCCAGAAAGCTCACAGAAGACAAAGACGGAGTTATAGGACTTAAGTTTTAGTGTATGTTTAAAGCTATATAAGACCTCAGTTAATGTGTTATGTTACATCTACAAACACAGGGAAAACCCTGTGTCTTTTATAGCTACGTGTTTAATTGTTTAATAGAACATCAGAGAATGTGAAACCTTCAAATCACATGCATATTGAACTTTTTTTTTTTTAACTGCAAAGACTACTACACATATTTGTTTAGGGGGCTAAACCAGACCTTAATCCCCGTCATATTAATAACTACACTTACCAAAGGCCAAAGTTTACCAAGATCATCATCTTATGTGTTGAAGTTTATAAATGACACAGGTATACATGAAGGTTGTGGACTTCACCTCTGATCAGCAGCGTAGGCAAATCAGGTCTTGTCTGTATTGCGTGCCCGATACTTAAGACACACTGTTATCTGTGTAACTGCAGGAGTGTGAAGAAGAGAGTACAAATTAGTCAAGTAGATATAAATGCCTTCATTAACATCAGATTCACGAGTATGTGTCTCTCTCAAGACGCTGTGTCATCTACCACTGTTATAAAATGTAATTTTTTAAATTAAGTTCTGTTGTTTCAGAAAGCAGAACTGTTCACCTGTTCAGTCTTTCAAAATATTGAAAACAATATTTTGAAGTTACTACTTGTAAGATTTTTGGGTACTGTTTTGCTTGTACATGACACAATTTGTCTGTACAAAGGCACATCAAGTATCTCTTCTACCCATTTCTTCTGTTGGTTTACACAAAAAAATGAATGACCCTAAATTGGTACAAGATCAATCTGAATCACTGACAAAGCTGGAAATACAATGCAGATGATTTTTGACTCTGCATACACTGTGTAGAGTCAGATGTTTTAAATTACATATATTTAAAATTTAGATATACAAAAAAATATACATTTTCTGCACAGAGCTAGTAAAAAAGTTTTAATGTAGGCTTGCTGAAAAGAAGCAAGGAATTTTGTGCTCCTGTGTTCAGAACTTAAGCTGTAAAGTATCCAGCTCTGTTATGTACATACTTACTTTGACTTTTTTTATGAAGTTATGGAAACAGACTACATGGTAAAGGGCCATTGCTGAGGAATAAATGATTCAAGTGCCTTTGAAAGACTAGAAAAGGTAGATACTTTAAGATTTTAGTGCTTTCTAAGGACTTACTTCATCCTAGAAATTATTCAATAACTTAAAAATAATGCGGTGAAAATAACTTCTACAAACTAAGTTCTCTCACAATTTTATATTAAAATAGCCATATCTGCCAGCCATGCTGAGCATGCTGTGTGCTCAGGAATAATATCCCTTACATATATGGCCCAGCTGCAAGAAAAACTAAGTGTTGTATATTTAAAGATTTTTATTGGTTTTCAATTCATCTTAACCGTGAATGATCCTGATCTATTGAAAATTGCCTAGTGTGACAACTAAAATAATTTCAGGATTCAGAATTTGTAATATTACAGGAAAATATACCTACCCTCTAGCTATATGTTTTGGTTCTGTTTACTTTGATGTCAAGTTTCATTAGTGTTTTTTGGTATATAAACAAGGTCAGCCTGAGGTCAAGCGTAGCTAAGAACTCTGATTTGAGCAAGTAGAGCTAAAGTACTGGACCGTGTGATTGTACTCTTATTACTTCTTTTTTTTTGTTCTTTTTTAAATTTATTTATTTTTTAATCACATAGCAGTGAAGTCTAGATCTTACAAGTATTTCAAGAAATTGCATCTCTGTGTTCCATATTTTAAGGCTGGAGCTTAAGTATTCCTTTTTGACCTTAGTTTGATGTGGTATTTACTTTGATACAGTGTTACATCTGTACAGCACTATATTTCTTAGCCTTTTTAGCAGAAAGTTTGATCTATGTTTAAATTCCATTTAATTCAGAAGTGCTAAATTTAGGGAGCTGTATAGAGGAGGATCTTTCTTAGTAAAATATCAGACATCCCATTTATGATATCTGTAAACAAAATAGAAGGATAACTCCATTTTTATGTTTGTCTTATTCTGTAACTCAAAAGCTATTCAGAGATATTCTCTTTAAATTTGGCTTCAAACTTTAGCTGAAGTCATGTTTCCTTCCTTGTCCACTTGAAACTTCCAGTGTAAGTCATTTGGTTATATCTCATGACTTCTAATAACAAGTTAGATTTTGGCCACACTGTGGTATATGTCTGTTAGTCAAACTGCCTCCCATTATCTGCTTTCTGGTAGAACAAACTGATTGCTACACTAGAATAAATCACCTTTTTTATATTAATATTCTTATTTTTATAAGACATTTATAACTGCTGATCACTGCATTTTGAAGGCACCTCAGTTGTAGGTTTTTGTAATAAACTTACTGGGACATTAAGCAGTTCACATACACTTTATCCTGTATATATAACGTACATTAATTTGGTTTTTTGCGCATTTTTAAAATTTAGATTATTTTAGAGACTTGTTTCTCTCTGTCCCCAAGTCTTTTTAATGATATTTTAATATAATTCTTGTCAATTTATATTTAATTACTTGCAAGAACTGAAAAACAAAACCAGTCTGAAGTTCCCAGATGCTTATTGGCTTTCGAGATCCAAGGTGGTGCTGGAGATGGGTAAAGAAAAACCTTGGAAAGCAGTTTTGAGCACTTGTGGTATCCATATTTCTTTCTGAAGCAACAGTGCAGGCATGCTGCCTTTTCTAGGGGGAATGCACTGTTGGAACCTCTAGTGACTTAGCTGAGAGAATCAGAAGTAGAAATCGGGAAAATGTTTTGGGGCAAAGTGTCAGTAAGAGCAGATGCCTTTAAACTTTTCAGTTTTCATAGAAAATTTAGACGTCGTTTTGTTGTATTCTGTTGCTGAGGTATCTTGTAACACAACTTCTGAACTACAGATCATAACATCAGAGAACTGTAATAATTAATATTTAATAAAAATAACTTTCATGAGTTGTTATAATCAAAATTTATCAGTTATATAAAATTCAGTCTGATGTAAAAATGACTTTTTTTAGTTAATTGTCAATACCATAATTTTTGTTATTGTTTTTAGAACTTTCCTGATGTAGATGACGAAGGATACAGCATTAAACCAGAAGCAACACAGGATATCCTTTTCACTGTTACTGTGCCAAGTTATTTGATGTTACTACAATTCTTTGGAGAGAGAAATTACTGACTATGAAGTGTTAAGTAAAGAAAGATGAATGACATTTATGCTTGTGTTGCAGCTTTGGCTTCTTACGTTCATAGCTTTTGCAAAATGAACCGAATTTGTTGTATCTTAAAATCTGTGTGTGTGCAACTGTTAAAGATTAGATCAAGTGTCTTGGGAACTTTAAGAGGACAGTAAAAAATAGAAATTAAAACAAAAGCCAGAACAAAAACTTTAAGGTAGCCTTGCAGATCTCTCTCCCTGAAAAGTCTCAGAGAGTTTGTAAAGTTTGTAAACTTTTTAAAACATGTGGAATGGTTTTCTGTTCTATACCTGCATCCTCCCGTTTTTTTTGTAACACCATTAAAATGATTGGGAGCTTGAGCAATGTAGAAATAGAATTTCTGTTATATCTGGTGTCATTATTTACACCACATGCTGTTTCCAATGTTTCCAATTAATAATAGCTTTCATATACAGAATAGATTTTGTTCTGAGCCATCTTTATAGAGGCTCGAGATTTTTCTCTGCTCTTTTGGAGGAAAAATTCTTCTTCACTTTTTTTCCTACCATCACAGAGGAAAGCTCTACTTAAGACCTGGGAATAATTGCTGTAGATTGATCTAAGCGAGTCTCATATGTTAGCAAGATAGCTGATTTTTGGAAATGTATTCACTGAATTTTCTGGGTACTGCAGATAAAAAGTAAAATTAGGCTATGCAATTTCCTTAAATTGCAAAAACTTTTAGGCAGTTAACAGCCTAAAAGGGGCCAGTCCATCCTCATAGCCTCCTTCTTTTTATCAACTTTGCAGAACATGCCTCTAGTGTCCACAGTGAAGATTTCTGTAGTGATTAAAGCACTTAGTGTTCTCTCCTATTTACAAAATTATATAAAAGTGATAGACTTTGATCCAGTTTTGAGAAGAGCATTATTTCATGCCTTACATATATTATGAAAGGGAGAGAGAAGTGAACAACATTCATGCTTGTGATGAATGATTCCTCTGGGGCATCCTTTCCTATATTATCTCTTTTTGTTGTGAAACAAGAGAAAAGGCGTATATTCAGTGAAAAATATTAATGATTTGCAATCTGTCACCTAGGTAGTACTTCAGCTTCTGAAAACCTTGACCATATTCAGGAACTCATCTGTTCCCTTCTTCTTTTCTTCCCTTAGCCTCTAGGAAGGGATATTTATTTTGTTGATGGGAACTCTTAAGATAATTGTTGTAGGACATTATTTTACTATAATTACAGTCAGTCTTAATAAGTCTGACTTAAATCTGTGTTGAAGAAGCACTTTACAAGAACTGCCTGATTTGTAGGAAATTAATCTTGGAGGTCAGCAATAACTTCAAGATGAGATCTTTTGATGAAATTAAAATTACTCGTCTTTGAAACTTTTCTAGATATGCTCCATTTTGATGGAACAGATACACTGTAAGATGAAGACATTTGGCTTTTTCCTCAGTGTAACTTTCAGATGATTTCAGTTGAAATGAATTTGGAATGTCTCTGGGGTTCAGGTTTAAATCTTTGTTAGGGAATAGTTTGAAAGAATTTATTGCAAATGCCTGTCATATTTTCAAGTGAAAATAACAGAAGTGACTTACGGAATATGTATGCTTCCCCCAGGTGGTACAAAACTTTTATGTTTCAATAGAGGAAAATTGTCAAATTTTGTCTTGCCAAAACAAATGCATTTTTTAAGATTTAGCATAGCCCTTCTAGAGCTTTTGTACAGTACAGCTCCTGTGTGTATGAAGAGCCAAGGTTATATTTTTCTTATTTTGAGGGCTGAGTTGTCATTGTGATTCCTTTTTTTCCAAGCATGACAGTGCTTTAAGCAGCTGACATTGTTCTGTTTCTGTGAAGCCTTCTGTTTAACTGGCATCCTTTCTTGCAAAATCTTCAGTGACACAGTGCAAAAGGGGTAAGTAATGGTGGCTGCTGCTCTTTCCTCCACTGTTAGTGTTAGGTGCAGGTACCATGGACATTTCACTGCTCATTAAAAAGACTAGGGCACCTCTTCACTTGGTTGAAAGTTTTTCTACATTTTTCTTATGTGTGTTTGAGTCCATGGTTGAGACTTGCAAATCATAAATGTTACTACTCTAGAATCTTTAATTTAACCTGATGCCTTCAAATATGCAGTTGTTCAGTTATATGGCACATACTGCCATTCTTCAGTTATATGACATCATGCTTTTCTAAACAAAGTCATCATTATGGAGATGAATGGAATAAAACTCTTGAATTTTAATTGTGAATTTTGGACTGTGGATATTTGTGAAACATCTGTGTAAGCGCAAAAGAGGTCACTTAATATGAACATTTTGTGGAGCATAATTATGAAATAGATTAAGCAGATGAATTTGAAGTATTTCCACCTTAACTGAGAAAAACATACCAAAGAGAATCATTTCTATTCATCCAGTGATTCTGACTCTGAAGATGATGAACCCAGGAGGTTCCATGTAGAAATAAAACCTGTCCAGCCAAATAACAGCTCTCAATATACTATGCCTTCCTTGGATGAGTTAAAAGTATCTATAGGGAACATCACTCTTTCTCCAGCAATATCTGTAAGTTTTGTACCTTGTATTTTTAATGTGTAGAAAAGGGGTAGAGAATCTGTAGTGTAAACATGTATTTTACTGTTCAGAATTTATTCTAGGTTTAATGATTCTTTTTTCTTGTGCACTAGGTTGTTTTTGGTACACTTCATTGCAATATAACATTATGTACTTCTCTTTTCTCAGATTTAGACTTTTCTTTCAGTCTTGTGAGTGCTCAGTTTTTGTCTTTGTCCAGTGGCCACCACAAGACACTTGAATACATCGTGGAATTAGCTGAGCATGTCTTTTAACATAATTTACTAATTTGTAATTAATGGTATACAAGTCTTTTAAAACAGATCATATAATGTGGATATATGTAACATTTACAGTGCAGCTTTATTGATGTATTCAATTCACCAAATAATCCTTTATACCACAAGATGATAAATAGTATTAAAGTATGCTAGTACAACATTCAGATCAGAATAAGACTGGCTCTGATTTTAAGGAAAATAGTGTGCATAACATATTAAAATAATAATTTTTCTCTTTTTTCCCTCACCACATTTTGAAAGCAGAGGCACAGTCCTGTAAGTAGAGAATGGTTTTTTATTCCTGTTTTTAGTTAAAACCAAGTAAGTGTAGTATGTGAGGGGAGTTATTAAAAAACATTAGGAATATTTCTTTTCATGTATACCGTGTGATATAGAAGCTGTTTAGTTTTACTGCCCCAGGCAGTAAAGAGATTTAATAATAGTGCTCCCTTTGTCAGTTCTAAAGTATTCATTGCTGCCTTTTCTTACTGGTGTGGCAGGTGTGCACTGGTTGCTCTGTCCTGGCTCATGTTCCATGGTCTTCTGCAAACTCATAATGTTTTGCCTGACATTGAAAGCAGAGTATCTCACAGGAAGTTGAGTGGAAATAAGAACCCTGGGACTATTAACTGTTTTATTTTACAGTTAGTAGAAGAATTTATTCCTAATTATTTTTTCCTGTTTCAGGCACAAATGAATCAAAATTCATCCAGTAAGTGTGAATCTTTTAGTTTATGCTAGCTTTTTAACATAGAATGAAAGTAGATTTTTTTTTTTAATTGTTGAAGAAATAAGCTTCTTAAATAGTGGTATTTTAAGTGAAAAAAAAAATATTTCCCTTGTCAGTTTTATATTCCTCTTCTTTATCTATATACTTGACTGTTCACTGTTGTGGGGACCAGACAAGCCTGTCTCTGACAGTGATGAGGTACACATCCAAAAGCCAAAGGGGGTACTCCATGGAAAAAACTCCTGTACAGGTTCTTAAAACCCTTCTGCCTGCTCAAGTTTAGTACGATTCACAAACCAGCAAAGCACAGTGTCTCTATTTGTATGATATAAAATATGGCCATAGAGGTAGAGGACAGAGCATTAATTTCTATCCTTTAGGGTTTTTTCAGTGGGAAACCAGGACAAATTTGCTGAAGAACAGTATTGATGTAAACAGTAAAGCAGTATAATTCAAGGAAGAAATTTCAAGTGAACAACACTTCCTCACAAACTGAAATGCTCTGTGTAGTCTTTTATTTCAGGAGTATCTAAACTTAAACTTTCAGAAATAATGTATTTTCTTTTTTCCATTTTAATATTAAATTATGAACAGCAACATTAATATTTACTGTCTTTTTATGACAAAACTGAAATTTTTATTTTATAGTTTCACACTTTTGGTGATAATACTGTATGCTTTTCTTAGGTGAAGAGTTAACAAAATCAAAGCTTTCTGCTCCATCTAATGAGTAAGTTCAAATTTAAAATGCAATTTTTCAGGAATTTGATCTTATTTTTCTTATACTCAGAAACTCATTAGAAATAACAGCTGACTCCTATTTGAAGTTGGTCATCTATTGCATTATAAGACTTAAGAATGAATTATGTAACCATGGAGATTTCTGTTGACTTGTTTACCCCTTTTAATACATTGGCTTTATTGTGATCTGTCTCAGTTGATATTTATAATTACATGATTGTGCAAGGGTTTTTTTATTAAATTCTCAGATTTTAAATAAGACATATTTTGTTTTATTCTACAGTGTTCCATGGTAAAGAGTTTAAGATTGCAACCTCCAAGTTGCATCCATTCCTTATATGTATATATACTGAAATAAATGGATTTGAAGATGAAGGTCCTTGAAAATGACAGTCATTTAGCTGATATCATGAAGTATGCCCACACAGAAACTTGCACCAAGGTGTCAGCTCAGATAGTCTCCTTATGTGTGAATCAGTTCTTTGACCTGCAATTTGTAATTTTTTTCCTTTTAGATGCAAAGAATAACTAATATGGACAAAGAGGTCAAATGTTTTTATCGTATTATTGAGGGACTTTTTACAAGGGCATGTAATGATAGAACAAGGGAAAATAGCTTTAAACTAAGAGTAGGTTTATATTAGATATTAGGAAGAAATTCTTTTCTGTGAGGGTGGTAAGGCACTGCAATAGGTTACCCAGAGACGTTGTGGATGCCCCATCCCTGAAGTGTTCAAGGCCATGTTGGATGGGGCTCTGAGCAACCTGGTCTAGAGGTTAGGTGTCCCTGGCCAGGTTAGGGTGGTTGGAACAACCTTCTAACTCAAACCATTCTGTGATTATTATCTTTATTACATTGTCAAACTACTGAAGTTGATTTGATTTTTATGAATGCATACATTTTTCATTTATATTCCAATTGTAACTCTTAATATAGAAAGGGGAACAGTGACCTCCTGGCATGGGATCCACTCTTCAGCAGTTCTCTTGAATCTTCCTCTTCAGTTTCCTTGGCATCCTCATCCTCCTCAGGTAAAATATTTAATAGTAAATAATTTTTTCTCAATATACTTAAGGATGTTCTGGTGTTGGTTTTTTAGTTATTGCACGGGGACGTACTTTGACTATAAAATGAAAGAATTTTATAAAGCAGTATACTACCTTAGAAGTGTTACACAACTGAGGATACAAGGCTTTCAAGCTAGAGAGCAAGATGCAAGAGGGAGTGCTCGAGACCTTAGGAAAATTCTCTCTCTTTCTTCTGTCCTTTCTTACTTTCCAAAAAATTGCTTACCATGTAGAATGTAGTCCTTTTATGTTCTACTGGTAGAGCTGGGAGATTAAATGGAGGCTGTTGCAGCAACTGTGAGACATGCTGACCTTGCACAAGGAATAGGGATGAGTTTCTTCTTTCCAGGAAAGTTGATTGAGCTGTGTAATATAAAGGCATTGCACAGCTTTGCTGTGAGGAATTTGTTTCCTGTAGTTAACAATGATTGTTAGATGTGCATAATCCAGGGGCAGATGGATAAAAATGGCAGGACTGAGACATGAATTAAGGTGAGATCCTGAGAGCAAGGGTACTGGGAAGAAAAGGATGGTCCATGGAGTGTGGGAAGTGGAGTGTAAGGGCTTATCTTGCATGGGCATTTTGGGGTGCAGGATATTAGTGTGGGCAGAACACTGGCAGGCTTTCCTGAAACTTGGTCTTTGCAAAAAATAGTTCCATAGTTCTTTTCCATCTACCTACTATGTATCTATTTCCCAACCTTTGCTTTCTTAATGTAGACACCTTTTTCCTCCCACATGCCTGAGAAAGGAAGTATGTTCACTGATTATTTTTTTTAACTAGATATTCATTCTCAAAAAAACCGTAATAGACCTCCCTTCTTTTTTCACGATTATGGCTTTCTAGCTGTTTTCCTCTGTGCTTGATCGTACTTGAAGATCAGATTGAAGAACAGTAAAGAAAAATACATATATCAATAGGAGAATTATGAAAAACTGGTGTTAATTCTTGGCTTTAGTAGCGTTCTTTTAGCAAAAATCCGTATCGCTATGTAACTCTTTGGGTTTTCAGTAGAACTTAGTCTTTCACTACAAATTCTTGTCCCTTAAAAGTTATGGTCTTAACAAATCTGGCTTATAGAATTCATTAGATTGTCTCATTCTCACTTAGGTAACTGGTCAATAGTATTGGCTAGTGAATCCACGTGTGATAACACATCTAAGAATAAATTATATAGAGACAGATATTATTGGGATATTCAGAAAAGAAATTATGCTTTATCAAAATAATCTGTTTTGCTAGCTTTGATCTGGTGTTGCAATCTGCAGAGAAAGGCAGAGAGTACTTAATTTGTTGTGCTGGTGGTTGCTGCTGTATTCAGTGTTTATTGGTGTGCCAGGATGGGAAGTCAGAGCAGGTTAGGACATCTTCATACGGTCCCTCCTGGCAGCAGAACTGTGGAGGAAGGTAGTCTCTGTCTGATGAATAGTGACAGAGATCTGTTACATCCTCTGTAGCCGTATCTGGCAGGGAGTCATCTACCCTAGTCCTCATACCCATGAGCCTTATACACAGAGCCCTAGGCTTCACTGAACCTGATGGAATACGGTGTCCTGTGGACATAAGTCAAGTTTAGATACATCTGTGCCTTTGCAAACTTTATCTATTAAATAATTATTTCAAGGATTGTTGTTCTAGGACTTAACTAGATATTTAGCCTTGTGAAATAATCTGTAGAGTTAAGTAGAAAGTAAGTGTTCTCAAGTATAAAAAATTACTAATACATTTGGGGAAAAAAACAACTGGATCTATGTATTGGTTAAATAGAGTTCAAATGCTTACTAACCTGCAACTTAGTTCTAAAGACTTTTGAAAAATACACAACTTTGATCTGATTGTATTTTCCTTTAAATCCATGTTTTATCTTCAACTTGAAGATTCATGTAAGTAAGCTGATGCTTAAAGCTTTGAAAATCTCAATCCAAAACTTACATAAATTAGTTTTTTTGAATACATCATATCTGTATATAATGATATAGCATGCCTCACAGAGAACTTTATTTTTTTTACTGTTTAAACATTTGTTTAGCTATTGTTTCATAACTGTGTTAATCATTGAACACTCAAACTACCATGGCATTTGAGCAGACAGTGGTTTATGCAGCACAGAAGTTGTCTTTGGTCATCCATGAATAATCCTGCTTTATTACATGCTTAAGATAACTTTGTTATCTTGAACAAACACAACAGACATTTTTTTAGCCAGCTCTTGATAATGTAAAAATGCTTCTTTTTCATTTTCTTCCTTATTTTCATCTCTATGTATTTTTAAAATAGTTTTTAACATAACATTTCCACATTGTCTTTTAATAGGATTTATTGTAGTGTTTTAAAGCCTTTGAATAATATTTAAAGTATCTCTTAGAGAGGGAAAACTGTGTTAAAACTCTAATGTTTACGTGGACTTAGAGAATGTACTCGTTCATGGCAAAATGGCCATGGTCCTGTAGAGAGGACAATTGTACTTTTGATCTGAACTTTTAAATGTATTTCTCTTTTTTCATTTCCTATGTCACTCTGCTGTTGCTCGTCACTCTGCTGTTGCTCCTCGCTCTACCAGTCTGCAAGATGTTGAGAATTGCCTAACCTTGCATTTTCTGCTTCTATTGTCATCTCGTGCAACAGGCAACAGCAAGTGCAAGCAATACTTGTGGAAAACTCATTTTTTCAGCAGTCTGAAGACAATAGGATGAGAAAGGAAAAACCTAGGGTGTATGATCCCTCATCTATATTGTTACTCATTAGACACAGGTTGATACAGACAGAATAAATATCAGACTGGATCATGTAACTGCGTTGTCTTCACTCACCTGAAAGCCAGTTCTGTTGGGCCTTTCTTTTACAAGTGCTAGGGCTAAGAGGACCAAAATGTTTGGAATGAACAGGATAGATTTGATTAAATAACTTTGAAAGAAAATGAAAAGAGAAAGATGTAAAGAGGGACCAAAAATGGATTAGGATGCAAGAAGGAAAAGACAAAGATGAGAGAAAATTAAATCACAGCAGGGGGGAAGTAAGAGGAATAAAGAAAGTTGTGAGAAGCAGAGCCTTAAATGAAGAGATAGACAATAAAGTCTTTTTTATGTGCTCGAAAATGGAAAGTGACATGGTTGGCAGTATGCATAAAGTACATGTGATATGTCACTAGCACTTTTTTTCTTTTATTTGTAAGTGGGGGGATTTTTAGCCCAGTAGAGCAATTGTTTTTCATGCTGGCTAGTAACCCTCCTGCAGTGGATATTGAATACTTTTTTGAATATTGAAAGTTTTATCTTTTCAGTATGGTTCCTAGTTTCGATTCTTCCTTTTTCCTTCAGCTACCCTAAAAGAGCACAGTAGGAGCTCCTCTTCATCTACCACTGATTTGGCTGGGTGTAGAGTTTCTCAGTCTTTGCTTGGACACCAGACAGATTCAGGGTCTACAAGCCCATCCTCACCAGACTTTACCATTAGCACTTTGTGCAAATCTAGTGTTACAGCAGCACCATCAGGGAGTACCAGTACTTTATCCTGTGTTTCACGGTCTCAGAGTCAGTGGATTTCCTTTGCTGATGAACTTCTTACAATTAGACACAAAAGCACAGATGAGAAGGAACCCCAAAGATTGCATTTTAAAACTGAAAATGCCTGCCTTGCCTCTTCTGCTTGGCTTGGGAATTCTGCCAACAGCTGTGCTTCTGAGGATCAAAGAGACCTTTTCAGTAACACTATATGCCATGAACAATTATTCATTGAAGAAACTGGCACTGCTGCTGAAATATCTTCCGCATCATCTTCAACATTACTGGACTATAGTTTAGTGTCCTCTTGTGCTCGTACAAATAAGGGTATGGCAAGCATGCATTCTGTACTGCTCTTTGCTAATAACTGACTACAAAAAGCGAGCTTTGGACTCATTTTTCTTTTTGTTATTATTGCTCACCTGATGCTAAAATTAACACGTCTTCTTACTTAGAATGTACTAAACTGCTTGCTAGCACAAATTTCCTTGAAAGTTTAATAAATAAATTATAAAATAAATATTCAGCTTGAAACAAGAAGAAAACTCAAATTATTCATTTAAAGGCATTGCTTTCACTTAACTATGCAGTATTGCTTTTCTAGAAATGGGATTATGTTTTTGTGGGATGTTAGACAGCAGTGAGATCTCAAAGATTAAGTAATTGAATTTGCAAAACCAGTTATTTTTACATACAAACCCCCGTGACTGCTTGGTATAAAGTCACTTGCAAGCAATGAGAAAGCCCATGGCACTATTTTAAAAGCACTTAGTGCTAAATCTTAGACCATGGCACTTGTAAAATAGGAGCTTCTAGTCAAAACATCACTTCCAGTTATTCTATTCAAGTGAGTAAGTATTTATGTTCAGTGTGATCTTTTAATACTTATTTTCTTAAATTTGCTTTCTTCCAGCGAGGCCCACCACTCCTCTTTCTGTAGGCACCATTGTACCCCCTCCAAGGCCTGCTTCAAGACCAAAGCTGACTACTGGGAAACTTAGTGGAATTAATGAAATAGTATGTATTGATTGGTTTTTGGTTGGTTTTTTTTTGTCCTCCATTGTGACTTGATTTCCAATACACCGTTTATTTACACTGTTACTCTGTAAGTGGAGTCACTTTCTAGCCAATGTTCTAAGAATCACATAAGCAGATTTCCACATCACCAGACAGGCATGGAAATTATGACAATTATGTTACTAGAACAGGTAATCCTTAACAGAAATACAAAGGTCCAAAACATAATTTTTGCATCAGCTGAATGTTTTTAATTGAGCAAATCAATAATTTGTTAATGAAAGGATGGCACATGCATAAGACTGAAATTTTCAAAATGTGAAATACTAGCAAAGTTATTTACAAAGCTCCATTGATTTAGGGATACCATCAATGCTTTGGGGAATGAGTGGTATTGAGTAGATCTTTATCAGTCATATGTTGACAAAAGTAGCCCTGCTGTGACTTCTCCCTGCCCTTGGTGCTGAGAGGGGAGGTGGCAGATCACAGCAGTTGCCCATCAGGATAGTGAGAGATTGCATGCTGCCTGCATCTGCTCACTGCCTGCAGTGCAGGTTCACCTGCCAGTAAGGAATGTGGTAAAGAATGCAGATACCCAAACAGCCTATCAAACCAGGCCATACTTAATTTCCTCTGTGATTATTAGTATTCTGTGTGTTTCACTTGACTTACTGACTTGGAAAAATGTTCCTGTGGTAAGATCCTCTTATTGTATTTCAAAGTAGCAAGGTGTAAGGATAGGTACAATTTCGGAAGAATTCGTAACGGCAAGCTAGAACTCATTTCACTAAGGAAGACTGCAAAATGCCTCCTCAAAAGGGTTAATATTTGTCCCTTCTGCAGTCAGAGAGAGTTGCAGAGAGAGAGCTGTGTTATTTCTTTCTGCTATGCTGGAGAGAGTTAACCCTCACAAACATTTATGAGGCCCCAGCAGCCCAGAGAAGGCAGGAAGGACAGGGAGGAGAAGACAAAAAAGCCCTGGAGAGGGTGAGGCCTTGCCGTGTCTCCCAGTGCTTCTACAGTACTGTGAGGTTTTTATAAGTTTTTCATGTTCTGGCCTTCTAAATAAACTTTTTGAATTCATTCCACTGCCTTGGCATTTCTGGGGATACCTGCATATCTTACTTTACACAGGGTACTGTCACCTAATTCTTTTTATAAATAAAATTTTGATCTCATGCTTTGACAAAACTAAAACATTTTCAAACTGTTTTGCTTTTCTGTAGGGTCAGAATAGGGTTCATTTGGAGATTCTATTCTCATTCCAATATAAAATGGGAGTAATTCCTCTCAGTCCAAGGAATCAGTTCTTCATGTCATCATTATTAAATAAAAGAATTTATCGGGTAGTGTTCTGCTGTAAAGTATGATCCTGCAGAAAGCTACATTCATTTTATACTGTTTTAGAAATTGACTATTATCTGGGTACAAGTGGGAGATTGTCAGTTGTCTTCATTATGTGTCAACTCCTTTTACAATTCCTGTAGTCTATCAAAGCCACATACCCAGCAATAAGTGCAATAAAACGGGGTGGGGAGGAGTGGGGGGTGAAGAGTTACTGCGACTTCCCACCCATAAGGAGAAGGAAGCACCCAAGATTCATAAATGCTTGTGGTTGAAAGAAACAAAAAAAGTCAGAGGGTCCACAAAAACTCACAAAGCTTTATTATTAAATTATACATTTGTCATTGAAATTGGTATATTGGTCCCTGACTTACCATACAAGCATCTGGCAATGGGCTTTGGATAAAGGGATAAGATAAAAAGAGAGAAAGGAAGACATTAAGTAAAGAGGAAGAGAGAGAAACAAAGAGAGAAAAAAGAGATCGCCGGTCCTGGTTCCAGTGTCAGTCCAGCCAATGGGATGTCCAGGTTCATGGAGGCACCACCTGGGCTTTGTGGGGGTACCTTTTTTATGGATGTTTCCCCTCCCTGAAGACAGGTTTCTCACTTTCTGTGCAAATTAGTTATCATAGGCAGTCTGTTCTTTCAGATCTCTCTGGAAATGGGTCGGAGGGCTTCATAAGTCTTGGATGGTCTTGATCCCCCCCTGCAGTCCACGCCCACTTCTCAGCCTCATTCCTGCACCTGTGTGGTACTACATTGTGCTTATCTCCAGGAAACAGAGCAAAGATGTTTGTCCCAGAAGAATACTGTCCTACCTCCACATGGCCCCTTCTCCAGCCACATCTTGTTCTTTCTCATGGAGTATTATTACTAACAATGCTCGATTATTACTGACAGTCCTGGTCTGTTATTACCAACAGTCCTTGGTTGGCTCCACAACCATCCAGCTATTGGTGTTTTAGACATACACATTAGTCCCTTATCTTCTGGGATTCTACAGTTACTCTGCCCAAATGATGCTTCAGGGTTTTCAGTACCTTTCAGATAGGTTAATCCCAATATCATCATTAGTTAAATACCTTAACACTTTAGTGAATCATAAAACCATCCAGAGATCTAGAATGGAAGAGACTTTAAGTTCCCTAGGCCAACTTGCTTAAAGAAGGGCTAACTTCAAAATTGCATCAGATTGCTTAGGCACATGCTGAGTTTTAAAAATCTTGAGTGGGTGATTTTACAATCTGCCAGTATGGCAACCTGTCCCAGTATTTAACTACAAGGTTTCAAGAAAGAATTTTTCCCAAAGTCCAGCTGAAATTTCCTTTGCTATAGCTCTTGCATCTCTTAGAAGAGCCTGAATGTGATTTCTTTGTGTACCTGTTTTTGCCTAATGAGAGACTACTAATAGTTCCCTCCTTAGGTTTCTGTTCTCCAGGCTGAACAAAGCCTGGTCCTTCAGCCTGTTCCTCTCTCTCCTGTACTCCAGTCACAACTATTTTAGTAGCCTTCTGCTGGTCTTACTTCCAATTCATTAGTAGCTCTGCTTTAGCTTTCTAAATCCATGTTCACTGCAGACATGCAAAGTAGTCTGTAGTCTTAGGTTCTAATACTGTGTTATATCACTACTATTGACAGGCTGCTAAATAATCAAATATATTAGACTTGACTATTCCATCAAAAAAATTTATAATCTATGAAATAATGGAATTCGTTCCAATGGAAAATGTGGGTTCTCTGTTTTACACTTAAAACTAAGGTAGATAAAACATTAAAGGAACTATGTTGAGAAACATTATGAAATTGATTGGGGCATGAAATTAAGAACTTTTCTATTTATAGTCCTTTTTTGTCTCTTTTAAACCACTTTGTGTCATATTCTTGTAATCTCTTTTGTTCAGCCTAGGCCATTCAGCCCTCCATTGACCTCTAACTCAAGTCCACCTCCAGCAGCTCCTTTGGCACGTGCAGAGAGCATTTCTTCTATATCCTCTTCTGCTTCTCTCAGTGCAGCAAACACACCTACAGTTGGTAAGTTTAATTAACCATTTTATCTTATTTTAGAAATAGGATAACTCTACTACTGGGTTGCACCTGTTAGGAAAACCATTTGTTGAAGTTCGTTTTTTCATATGCAAGTCTAGGTACTTCAAGCATCCTTTGCAATACTTGCTTCTAAATGACACTGAGAGACATGAAAGTGGATTCAATTAGATTAGACCATAGATCCAATTATAACATGTTCTTTAGAAAAATATTATTTGGAATTGATATTCCATTAATTCCTATTTGGTATGCTGTATATCCATCAAGTACAACATGTTATCATGTATTTTTTCAGAAGATGTTATTATATAGGTGCAGAAATATTTTGGGATGCTGAAAAATTTGAATGAATATAAAGGTTCATAAAAGTGAGTTCTTTTATGCTCTTTTAATTTAATTTGTTGTCCTGTAATTCCAGTTCCCAAAAAATTAATCTAATGCATCTTTTTCTTCAAGTTAGTTAAGTATATAAGCTAAACAGAGGTGTTTAGTAAAAATAAAACAAACAACTAAGCAAAAAAGACTAAGATGAAAAGCTAATTCGTCTTCTTGCGTTGACACTAATTTCAGAAGATTTTCTCTTGTTTTTAAAGGATAGTCCTTCAGTTTTGATATTTGGTTACAACAGATGGAAAGCAGATATATAGAGCTCTTTTTTAGTTAGAGGGTTTTTTGTTAGGTTGGGGGGCAGTGGGGTTTAAAACATTTTAGCTTGTTTATGTAGTAGAATTGAATTGTTCCATCCCTGAACACTATTACCTCTTTAGTCCCAAGTTAAATAAGATTATCAAGTTATTGTTCTGTTCTCTGTGAATGTTACTGATGACAAGGATTCCTCACTCAGGCTTAGCAGCTCAGGAGAGCATTTTTTCAGCTTCCAGTGGGAGTTCTGCACTGAAAGCAATGCAGCTGTTTCCACCTTGTGCAGGAGCAAAGCTACTAAGTTCTGCCCAACCTTAGCTCCTACAGTTTACTGTACACCAGTTTCACAAATGCTGAGAAGCATCACAGAAAGACAACTGATATTTTGGTTGCCAAGTCCATCCAGGCTCACATCCTCAGGCCTCAGCTCTGGTGCCAAGGAACCAAAAATTTGTGGCAGGAGCATCAATATCCCCAGCTCTCAGTGTGTGCATGTTGTTGGAGACAGTGACAGAGTGAAATCATGAGGTGAGGGAGGAGGTAAGGAGGTGTGTGCTGACACCGAGGTTTGACATGGTTATTAATCTGGACTAGGAAAAATAAATAAGGGCCGTTCCATCTGCACTGACTGTATGAAATAGTCCTGGAAAAAGAGGAAGGTCAGTGCAGAGAGCTGAAAGACTTTGGGGCATGAGAATATACTCTGAAATACTGTATGTATTCTTTTGACTTTTGCACAGTCCAGTGTTTCCTGTACTCCATTTGTCTTGAATAATGGGGAGTTGACTCTTATTGTCTTTATCCAAGAGAACTTTAAGGCATGCATAACTGAGTGTTTCTTCTATGCTTTAGCCTTAATTTAATTTTGTGAAGTATTTTTTTAATACATTAATTTTTAACATCTATTTTTGCTTGAAATATTTTGTTTTCTCGCAATGTTTTGTTTCATTTAAATGTAATAGAGGATGATCTTTTGATTCGAAATCTTCCTACAATTGAAAAGCTTAGTGGGACACCACCAGGTATTGTACTCAAAGCAGATTTATGTCTCAACTAATCATCCTAATTCACTACATCTAATAAAATTGTATTTCTTTTGAAACAAGTTTCTCTAAATGGTATCTGGCAGATACAAATGGCTTGAAATCTCAACTACTTAACAAGTTATATGTTTCTCAAATCACCGAAACTCAATATAACCACTTTTATATAATATAATCTTCTGCCTATCCCCTTCTCTGCTCCGCAGACAAGCTGGAACTTGGCCTTGCTTCTTCAGTTTGTCATTACTACTTTCTTTCAAGTAAAATGAATATATTTTTAACTTGACAATCCTTATTCTCATAACACAAGTAGGTAAAAATGTCTGTATATTTACATAGAATACAAATCTTTGAATATAGACATAATAAAGGTAATACTTTCTTAAAATAAATTTTATTTTCATGACAGCTGTTTAGCCAATATTAAAATTGTCTAAATCTTTTTTCCTAAACTTAATTAAAACCATTTGATCAGGTTTATTCATTTGCCCTTTTTATGACCAATAATGCAGTCTTTTGCTCTGTAGTTTTGGTCTGCACCTTGAGTGTGTCAATACAACCATTTGTATGGTTGTGTCACTAGCTCTTATGTCAGCACAGCTCAGGGGCTGGTTATGGTGGTCAGGCTGAGGTAGGTGTCAGGGTGTTTAAGCCAACTTTTCTGTCACTGCCAAAGGTGGTACAACTGGAACTTTGCACTGGGCTTCAGCCTAAGCTGGAGCCATGACACCTTGGTGCAGCTCTGTGATATCCTGTTCCTCTGAGACCTCACAGCAGACATGGAAGACCCTGAAGCTGGATATTGCTGCATTGAATTGTATTTTCAGCAGCAAGGCAACAAAAGGATGACTTCCAGAGTTAGATTAAGCAGTTATGTTTGTTTTATAGAATGGAATGATAGAATCATGAAGGTTGGAAAAATCCCCCAAGATCATCAACCACTGACCAATCACTACCATGCTAATTAAAACATAGTACTAAGTGCTCCAGTTGTTTCTTGAACACCTCCAGGGACAGTGACTCCACTACCTCCATGGGCAGCCCATTCTAAGTGGAGAAATTCTTCCTGATGTCCAACCTGAACCTCCCCTGGCACAGCTTAAGGCCATATCCTCTTATTCTGTCAGTAGTTTCCTGTGAGATAAGGCTGACTCACACCCTTGCTCCTTTCAGGTCACTGTAGAGAGTAATAAGGTCTCCTCTGAGCCTGTTTTTCTCCAGGCTGAACAACCCCAGCTCCTTCAGCTGCTCCTCATAGGACTTACTCTCTGGACCCTTCGTGAGCTCTGTTGCCCTTCTCTGGACACACTCCAGCACCTCAATGTCCTTCTGGGAGTGAGGGGTCCAGAACTGGACACGGTGTTCAAGGTGCGGCCTCACCAGTGCTGAGTACAGGGGGACAATCACTGCCCTGGTCCTGCTGGACACACTATTGCTGATACAGGCCAGGATGTCACTGGCCTTCTTGGCCATCTGGGCACACTGCTGGCTCATGGTCAGCCACTGTGGACCATCACCCCCGGGTCCTTTTCTGCCAGGCAGCTTTCCAGCCACTCTTCACCCAGCCTGTAGCACTGCCTGGGTTTGTTGTGACCCAAAGGCAAGAGCTGGTACTTGGCCGTATTGAATTTATAGCAATTTATTTGTTTCCATTTATTGGTTTTTAGGAGAATGCATAGATTTTTATGAATCAAAGAGTGACCAACAGTGGAAACAGAGCACGTAAAAGAGAAGAGATCTCATTTTTAATCCCCAAAATAGAACTCAGAGAAATATGTATTTGCTGCGGTGTTTCCTAAAAAAAAGTAAAAGCAATGTTAGTATTTCTAATGAATTTCACTCTTCAGTCAAGAAAACAGTATTTGTCTTTTACCAATAGGAATAATAATTGATATATCTGCATTACTTGCATGATATTCAAATATCAATATAAAAATGTACACAAGGCCATTAAGTAAAAGATTTTAAAATAATTTATACTCCTGTATGCAAGGTAATCCTATCTGCTCTGCAATTGTTTGTTGTTCCTTTTTAAATTGGGGGAAAAAGACAATAGAATAGCTCAGCAACTGTATTACTACCTTCACTGAGTGCATATTTTGGCTTTAGTGAAGAATAATTCTAGAGTTCAGTATTTCATCAAACAGAACTTCTAGTGATGGATAACTTATTATTTTATTGCATGTTTGCTTCTTGAAATAATGATTTCTGGAATCACAACTTTTATTGGTCATTTTCAGGGAGAGAAAAAACTTTGGAAACATGATCCATGTATTGTCTAACCTACTCTTCACATTGAGAAAAACTAAATAAGTCTGTTTTGTAGCCAGCATCATAATAGTTCATTCTTCTAAGAATTTTTGGTTTTCAGCAGCTGTGACTAGATCTTTTTGATCTAAAGAGGCCTAAATGTTGCACAAATGTTTTCATGGTGCTGAGAAGTATTCTGAACATTTTACTGTCTTAGGCAAAAAATTGTGATGTATGAGAGTGAGGTATGAGGTAGAATTAGACCAACTTCTGTCTTTTGCTCTCTTTTTGTTACTACTTCATTGACTTATCTCTGAATTTAAGGTTTAATATGAGATATTAGTTCCTCTGTGAAGAACAAGGTCACACCTTACTTTTTGCTTCTGAAAGAGCTCAGGAAGGACAGCCACTGTTTTAAAGTAAATAAGTTTAATTTGCCATGAGCAGTATTATATAGAAGCATTTTGTTTCTGCTTTATGATATGAAAGAGAAATTTCTCAATTTGCTTATGAAAAGATGAAGATTGTGCCTCCTTTGTGGTAGATAATACTGTGTGGTACAGGCCACTTCAGCAGTGGGACAAAAAAAAATTAGTAAGATGCTCTCTACTACGCTGCTTCACTAATGAAAAAGACAAAACTTCCAATATTGTCTTTTTTATTCAGTACACATGTAGAAAATTTGTGAAAAATAAAATCCAGTGACAACCTATTTCATCAGTTGTTTATACAACAAATTATTTCAAAATGCCTTAGCATGAGATCTGAGTTGATTTTTGCATTTCTGTATTGGAATTGTGTTGTCTTGGCACAAGAAAAAAAAAATGAAGACTACTCCAACAATTTCTGCTTGGGAATTGTAATGTTTATTGGCTGAAAAAGTTAAAAGAATGTTCAACAGTTCACTTATGTGGTGTAATATTGATGTATTTGCATTCAAGTTCATTTTTGTTGTAAGTAAATTCTTTGCATTTCTATGACCATTTTATCATACATTTTTCCATACAAAAAGCATACAGTAGGGTTTTTTTTTAAAGCATTCTAGTTAATGTCTTATTTCCTTTGGGTCTGTTGACTTCACTTTCACCAGTGGCCATTTTAATGCAGTGTTCCTCTGCCTCATATGTATTTCCTCGTGTCTGTCTACATAATCTACTGATAGCCCTGTGTTCCTGATTGTACAATTGTACTGTACTATTTTTATGTATTTCTACATACTTTTCAAGTAATACTTCAGATGCTACTGTGACCTTGATGGCAGTAACCTCTTGTGAAAATTACAGATGTAGTCAACCATTCTGAAATCTATCGCTAAGCTTTTTGAAAATTAAACCTATACACTGTATGTATTCTAGGTGTTTCACGTGGTCCCAGCCCTGTCAGCCTTGGAAACCAGGACACCTTGCCTGTTGCAGTAGCCCTTACTGAATCTGTTAACGCCTACTTTAAAGGAGCAGATCCCACAAAGTTAGTTAAATAGTGAATTGTTTTGAATGTAATAAGTTACAATAAGAAAAGACGCTGAGTCTATTTGTTATATTTTGGGGGAAAATGTAATACCTTAGGAGGGGGATTCAAAATGGGTTTTTTCCCCTGGTATAAATGACAAGAGTGGCTTATTGCTCTGTGCTGGCCTACATCCTGCTAGGAGTTCATATATACCTACTTTACAGAAATGTGTTCACACTGAGAATGACAAGGATATTTATCATGTGCTACATGTAAATTTGGACAGATATAAGCACCTCATTCCCTCTGTCACATCCCTTGCTATGCTACTTAGGCCTTGCCTAAGCATAGCTGTACCATGTTTTCAAAGCCCAAAACATATCCACCAAGACTACTGTATGCTTAAGCAATTAAACTTCTTTTCTTTACTTATTTCATCTTACTTCCAAGTTGAAAGTGACAGTACATTGTCACATTGCCCTCATTTGAGATTGATTTTCTGGTTTTAATTCAGTTCATCAGATAGTGCAAATACAATGTTTGCTTTAAAATTAATATTAAAACTAGGCAGTTAATGAGTTGCAATGAAACTGATGTTTTCATTCTCTTTTAGATGTATTGTGAAGATTACTGGTGATATGACAATATCATTCCCAAGTGGGATTATTAAAGTCTTCACAAGCAACCCATCTCCTGCTGTGCTCTGCTTCAGGGTAAAAAACACAAGCAAACTAGAACAGATTCTTCCAAATGCACAACTTGTATACAGGTTTTGTATTTTTTTTTTACGTAATTTTAAACTACATGATTTATAAAATATGAGTTGTATGTGTAAATCAGAATTCTTTATAGAATTCTGGTTGATTTACTTACATATAATTATTTTCTTGAATTAATCTTGTTTGGCTTAGTTCTCTGCACTGTCATCATTAAAAATCTCAGTGATTACTTGCCTTGAAACTTGTGCTGATGTAACAGGAGCCATAGAAAATATTTTGTAAATGTAGCTGTGCATTGTATAATTTATATTTATGCATTTTATAAATTATTTTTATATAAAGTAGTAACTATAGTAACTATGGTAGAAACAGTAGCCTTAAATGGAAAACAAATAGTAGGAGGCTTAAATGGAAAACAAGGACTAGGAGCTTCACCTACTCTTATTTTTCACCTATGAGTGTATTTTTAAACTAAATAATTTCTGCACTAATCAGATTCATTACATAACTGTCTCTCAGACATGTAGCAGCATGCTTGGGAGAATTTGTAAGAAAAAAGTTTGCTGATTGAGTAGGGTTATTGTTGAAATCACACTTGGAGATATTGTTTTTTAAAAAATTAGGAAAAGCTGGAATTTTTTAGCAGAGATGTGTTCCAGAGATATGGTCTATTTCATTTATTGGAGAAATTTTTTGAAAACTAGTTAAATGCTTTTAAATGCAGAATTTTTTAAATTACTGAAATAATGAATCAAACCATATGCATCTGGGTTTTTTAGTTTAATTTCATTTTGATCATTCATTCTTAACATAAGGAATGATTCATACAACATTAAATTTAATTGCTGTTTGACATGACAGTTTAAAACTGAAATGTTAGCAGAACTGTATTTGACAGAGTGAATTATACTGAAAAAGCACTTTTTTCAAATTGTTAAAATTCTTATTTGAGTGGTGTAATACTTCACTCCTGATTGGTGATCTTTCTTTGTAGTGATCAGTCACAAAGTGACTCCAGTACTAAGGATTTTTGGATGAACATGCAAGCTATAACTGTCTACCTCAAGAAATTATCAGAGCAGAATCCATCTGCATCCTATTACAATGTGGATGTTTTAAAGTATCAGGTAAACACTTTTTTTCCTTTGAAATTTTTTAAGGCGTTCCAGATCTGATATCTACCCCAAAATTAAAAGAATAATTCTTTGTCTGCCAGAATGCAGATGAACTGTCATCCCTCATCTAGACCAATTCTGGGTATGTCACTGCTTACAATGCTTAGACTCTGCCTAGGCTTAACACATTCCTGCTATGCTTCATGTCATTCATTTGGATTCAGGACCTGTTTCAGCTTGCTTATGCACCAGTCCAATTCATGCATGCAAGCTTCAAACACTGCTTTTTTTTTTATATTAGCAAAATCAAATTTTCCTTTAAGATTTGGTGGGGGCTTGTTTTAGTTAGTACTCATACTGTCTTTGATTTTACAATTGCCTAAGTTTAGGATGCTGTAGCTGATGAATTTTAATATATGGTAATGGATTCCAACTGAAAGAGAGAGTAGGTTCAGATTAGGTATTGGGAAAAAATTCTTTACTCAGCAGGTGGTGAATTACTGGCACAGGTTACCCAGACAAGTTATAGATGCCCCATCCCTGGAAGTGTTCAAGGCCAAGCTGTATAGGCCTTTGAGCCTGGTGTACTGAAAGTTACCTGTGCCTATGGTGAGGGAGGGTTGGTACTATTTGTTCTTTAAGGTCCCTTCCAACCCAAAGCATTCTGTGATTCTATCTGAGAACATAAGACATTCTGACCTCTCACAGTATAATAAAACAGGAGTAGTCAGAATGGATTTACTAAGGGAAAGTCATGCTTGACCAAGCTGATAAACTTCTGTGATGACATAACTGCCCCAGTGGATGAAGGTAGAGCAGTAGATATTGTCTACTTAGACTTGAAGAGGGCTTTCAACACTGTCTCCTGCAGAATCCTTATAGAGAAGTTGGTGAAGTACAGGCTGGATGAGCAGACGCAGAAGTGAAGTGAAGTGAAAACTGGCTGAACAGCTGGGCCCAGCAAGTGGTGATCAGTGGCATGAAGTCTAGCTGGAGGCTGTTAACTAGGACTAAACTCCAGGGGTCAATACTGATTTTACCATTTAATAGCTTCATTAATGATCTGGATGATGGGGCAGTGTACCCCTGGCAAGTTTGCTGAAAACACTGAACAGAAATGACCCTCTGGATACACCAGAGAGTCATTTTGCCCTCCAGAGGGAGCTCAACAGGCTGCAGAAATGGGCTGAAAGGAATCTCATGAAGTTCAACAAGCAGTGCACCTGTGGTGGAACAACTCCATGCAACCAGCTGGAAAGCAGCTTGGCAGAAAAGGACCTGGGAGACACTATGTTGAACATGAGCCAAACAACCTGCCCTTGCTGCAAAGGCAGCAGATGGTCTCCTGGGCTGCACTAGGCAAAGTATTGCTAGTAGGTCAAGGAAGAGGATTCTTCCCCTCCACTCAGCACTGGTGAGGCCACACCTGGAGTGCTGTGTCCAGTTCTGGGTTGCCCATTGCAAGTGAGACTGGAGAGAGCTCAGTGAAGAGCCACAGAGATGATGATGGGACTGGAGTATCTCCCATGAGAGATACTCCAGGCTGAGCCTGGAGAAGGGAAAGTTCAGGGAAACCTCATCAATATGTATAAATACCTGAGGGAGAATGCACAGAGGACAAAGCTGGGCTGTTTTCACTGGTGCCTAGTGACAGAACCAGAGGCATGCTGAAGCACAGGAAATTCCCTTTGAGCAGCCAGAAACATTTTTCTCCTGTGACGGTGACTGAGCACTGGCACAGGTTGCCTAGGGGAGTGGTGAAGTCTCTGTCCTTGCAAGTTTTCAGAAGTTATCTGCACATGGTCCTGGGCAGCTGGTTCAAGATGGCCCTGCTTGAGCAGGAGAGTTGGACCAGACAACCTCTGGGAGGTTCCTGTCAACCTCAGCCATTGTGTGAATCAGTGAGATATGTTCTGGCTGTTAATAAAAAGCCTTTGTGAATATTCAAGACAGATTCACCTCAATGGAGAATGAATCTGGGGCAGGGATATGCCTGCATTGAAATTTCTGGATATCTGAGACAACTGTACCCACAAAAACACCCTGAAAATAAGCTGTCAGTCTACCTATTCATACCATTGTAGTTTCCACATCCTCCCAATATAATCTAAAATCTTGGTATACTGAATCTACAAAAAGCATGTTAGGCACATAGAATTCCTGAGAAAGATGGAAGGAACAAAACATTTCTTTAGTTGGCTGAGATGAATACTGTGGATTCTTTGTGGAAAAATGAGGCACTGGCACATGGAAGCCCAGGCAGAGAGAAAAGGTTCTGGGCTGCCAAGGAAAGGTGAGAGTGTGCACCAGGACATAGAAGCTTCCTCAGGTAGGCTGAGAACACGGTAGAGATGCATCAGGGCAGTAGCACAAGCTTAGCTACAGAAATGGCATTCAACCTTCTGCAGCAGGAAAATAATGCTTTGAATAGGTAAGAACTATTTTGCTGGCTGCCTGTCCCATAATGACAGGTGGTGTCGTCTGCTGCTGGCTGCTTGGGCAGCTAAATTGGCATGGCACACAACTGCTATGGTTGAAGTCATTTTGCTGCAAGCGTGCTTGTGTAAGGCAGAACACAAGACAAAAACAAAGCTTACAAAATGTTATAAAAGTAAGAACAGGGAGGAACCTCCTAGGCCAGAAGGAGTTTAAACCTTTTCTTTAACTATTTCATTTAAAATTAAAATAACAAAAATTCCTTTTGGCTGCAACATTCTTCAGAATTCTGTGATTAAGGACTCTAAGGTCAGTTGTTCTCTTGATATTTTGTCAGTATTTAGAGTTGTGTTTGTTACAGTCATCCCCTAATTCTGCCTAAAAGGGGAATATTTTAATTAAGCTGCTGTCAATGGTTTATTCTTTCACAGGTATCTTCAAATGGCATACAGTCTACTCCATTGAATCTTGCAACTTACTGGAAATGTGATGCTAGCACTACTGATGTGAGAGTGGATTATAAATACAATCCAGAGTCTATGAATGTGCCTGGTATGCTGTCTAATGTCCAGGTTGTGGTACCAGTAGATGGAGGAGTAATAAACATGCAGTCACTTCCACCTGCAAAATGGTAATTTTAATACTTTCAGTACTTTTTTCAGATTCATTTCAGTGCACTCACTGGTGTCATAGGCAAAAACATTTCATAGGAAAAAACCAGCAATATGTGTATATCAGGTGTATAGACATTTTCTGGTCTGAAACAGATCATGTGCAGCTAGTTCATATAGACTAAAATGAGACAATATGCACCCATCCCAGATGTGTAATAACACAATCCCATTATGAAATTTCCAATGTTTGCTTTCTTTTGGGCAATAGATAGGATAGACAATTTTAATACAGTAATTTGAAACGGATAAAAACCAATTTGTGCATGTATGTATAAATATATTCATATATATGGATTATATAAAGTAGCAAAAATGCAGTTCTTAAGAAGATTTCCTGATTGTTTAAAACAAACCTCAGTAACTGAGGAGCTCTCCATAAGCCAGTTAGCATTGTCTCTCAGTTCAAGTGTAATGCAGATTATGATCCGACTAGGAGCTATCTGCTACCACTTTATAAGCCTGCATTTAAAGTAACACTTAGAAGTGAAACATAGATCTTGAGTAGTTACATTACTACAAGTTTGTGAAAACAAGCAGAGCAGTACAGCCCTGGTGCAAAAGCAGAATTCAATCACCGCACCTGTGTTTTGGTGTCAAGTAAGAACTTACCCAGCTGTAATATAAATCCTGGACAGTTTATTTTGAAGAGGATCTTTTTAACATGAAGAAGTCAAAGAATACCAAACTGAAGGAAGTCAGGCTTTGTTAACATTGTTTCTTATAGATCAGTTTACCTTAAAAAGCAAGGCTTAGAAGAAAAATAAACCTCATGCATTTATCAGGTAGATTCTGATGTTTCTGGAGGCAACATATTTAAAGGTGTTAATTGGACAAAGTAGTAATACAGTATCATTTTAAGTGAAAAAAACATCCTGGGCAGGACCAAATCTTTCTTAACTTGGTGTTTCAAGGAAATGTTACTTTTAACCAAGATCTTAAGCTTATTCTAAGCAAGGACAGGTTCAGAATCCTGCCTGAACAACATGACTACACTGTCTGGTGAAGCCCATCTCCCTGCCCATAAACCCCTCTATAATGAAGCCTGAGTGAAAGCAGGAACAGCCACCCAGAAGACCTAGTGTCAGCTAGGGAAGACTTAGTGACAGTTGCATTACTGATTCATCAGATTAGGAAATTTGAGTCCAAATTCTCTCTTTCACCTAGGCAACTACCCAAAGCCAGAATTTTGAGCCTGGCAAGCTGACAAAAAAAAAAAAAATTCAGTTATGTCCCAGGCAGCTCTAGTATTTGTGTTGTGCTACCTGCTTGGTCTAGTGGGTTAGGTGGTGGGGTTTTGGTCTTTTTTTTAGAAATAAATGCTTTATGTCTTGACCTCTTGTGAGTAAGTGCTACCATCTGTGCTACTTATGTGAGCATTTCAGTCCTGCTGCATCAATGCCAAGAGCAATGTCAAACCTATCAGCACTTCATGCTGCTCACAGCTATAAGTTGTTGACTTTCCTTTGATGGAAGTGCTGGAAAGTGCTCTGGGAGTTAAAATGCCCTGTCAGCTTAGAGACTCTTGCGCTTGGTGCCCTTTGCTGCCCCTTTACAGTATCTGAAGTTAGCTTAAACAGTGTGTCGCTTACACCAATTAGTTTTACTAGAATGGAAATGGAATAAATTTCATGGTTCCAGGACTCTCACAAAGGGGAGAGCAATCAAGATTGCTCCCTCTCCTACCATCATCATGAAGCATAAGGCATAGCTTCCAAATTACTTCCAGGGTAACTTACCCTTTGAGACTGCAGAGGATCTTGAATTTTAGAGCTGTCCCCCAAACCACCACAAGAGCCATAGGTGGGGACATAGGACAGTGTTAAATGTATAAAAAAGTGTTGTATAAGATGTATAAAGAAGTGTATACTTCTGAGCTTGCTGTTCTGGAACAATGGAGACACTCCCTTCTCTTCTCCTCTTTTCCTACTGCAGTTTTCCACAGACTTACCTTAAAATGAGCAAATGTTTTTTATAGACCTCCATTTAGAAATGTCTGTAACATACCAGTGCAATCAAGGGAAATAATGTGCTAAAACTGGTGCCTATAACTAATTTACCGTTCTCTTACAGGAATGCAGACCAGATGAAAGCATATTGGAAAATATCTAGCATTTCAGAGAAGTCTGAGAATGGAGGCAAGTTATACTCTTTTGTTTTCTTGTACAGAAAAAATTTAATATTAAAAAAGTAATCATCATAGTTTCTACATCCTCATGCCTCTTTACACATTTTCTCATGCTGTATCCTATTTAGCAGTTTGCCACCTTGTCAATTAATTGTCTTCTGAGAGATTCCATTAATAGTGAGATGTCAAAATATAAATTTATTAATGAGCTATACAATGGAAAATAATGAAGTCCCCTGAAAGCAGTTAGCTCTAAAATGGAGTTTAGATCAGGTAGGAAATTATTGCATTCATGTTATTTGGAAGCGAGCAGTTATTCAAATGAAAATAGGTTTAATATCCACACACAGGTAATTTAAATAAATTTGAAAAAGGTAAGTGGAAGAACTGTAGGAAAGAAAAAAAATAATCCAGAAGTTGTGTGCTGAGATAGATGATTCTTGACCAACATTTTGAGTCTTGGTTTTGACCATAATGACTCTAGGAAAAAAATGAATCTATGCACATCTGATGAGAGTAGTAATTTATACAGTTTTGTGTAAGGTACTAATAGTTGTCCTCTGCCCAGCTGCTTTTCTCTGAGCTCCAGTTGATGTCACAGCCCTTACAGTCTCTGCAGGTGCAATATTTTTCTGAAGTAGTACAGGAACCAAAGGCAAGCATCTCATCCTCAAAGCCTCTGTGGAGAAATGAACTCTAGTGTAAAGGAAAAGCCTTTATCCTATTAAGAATTTAGTGAAGAGTATTGTGAAAGCACAGATTTGCTTGTAAATGTGACTGGTTTCATCTAAAAACCACAAGCCTGAAAAGGGAAGATGATCTCTATTCCTGCAAAGGCTGCAAGGTTGTGATTATCATTCAAACAAAATCAGAGAGAATTTTATTAGACAGAGGTGGTTGCTGTAGTCTAGTGGACTTTGTCCTTCACTGACCTCACAGTTCTTTTCCGTCTGTCTTCTATTAAGATTACATAGAAATAGCCCTCTTTTTTTTCTCCCTCCTTTCCTTTTCCAATCTGTGCAGCTTCTTTTAAAAGAAAAAAATCATACTGAAAGACAAATGCAGCAACTTTGCACCCGCAGAGCATACGTAAAATCGGCTGTTAGTGATGTGATTTGCATCTTGTGTGTTGACAACAGACTTGCACATATTCCACTATTTCAGCTATATTCCCTCTCTTCCCACCATCTTTCTTCATCTTTTCTTTGAGTATATACACAATAGTAATCTCAAGTTCGTGTTTAAGAGGAAGTAACAATATGCTGGTCCTACGCTTAGAGAAACGGAGGGAGAAGTTGCACAAACACTGTCAATATTAGGACAAATGTCTTGAAGTCTTGATGGATAGTGATAAAATGTTTTGGGGTCTTTTATGGTCCAACACATTATGTAATCTGTCACTTGGAGAGAGATAAAACAAACTTTCAAAGCACTTGAATATATGAGTTTCAGTACTTACAGTGGAAAGAAGTTCCAGTTTAGTCAAAATACAGCAGACCTACTGAAGAAAAATTGGTCTTAAGCTAAATTTATCAAAAACAAGCCACTGCATAAAAGACTTTAATTTAGTACCGGCTTTTACCTCAGTAACATTTCAGTTACTAATTAGCTTTGTCCTTTAGCAGTTCTTATTGACTAGGAATAGCAAGTTGTTTTACAGAAGTAAAAATACTTGACATTTGTTATTCCATTATTAATTATTTAAATCTCATTTTTCCCAGCATACTTTTGCAAGAACAAGAAAAGACTTGTTTAAAAACTAGAAACTAGCAACAATGTGGGGTTTTTTAAATGCCTTTCATTGACTACAGAAATGTACTTGAAGTAATTTTGACCTATTGATGCTTTGTGTATGTGTTCCTCTTTAAATCATTCACTAATGTCAGTGATTTAAATGTGTATTTTTTCTCTTTAAGTCATTCACTGGTCATTGTCTTAAACACTGGAAAAACAGACTTGTCCTCTTATCTCTTTTGAAAATTTGTATAGGACTGCCAATAGGAATAGATCTCAAAGGTCACAATGTTAGTTACACTTCTTACTACTAAGAATTTTGGGAGATCTTTTTGTTCTTGCAAAACAACCAACTTTTCAGTTTTGTTTTTATAGGTTCTGGATCCCTCAGGGCAAAATTTGAACTTTCAGGAGGACCCAGTAAACCAGCAACACTTGCAGTGCAATTCATCAGTGAAGGAAGCACCCTTTCAGGAGTAGATGTGGAGCTTGTAGGCACTGGCTATCGGCTTTCCCTTCTCAAGAAGAGATTTGCCACTGGTAAGACACTGACATGCTTATATATTCAAATTACTATTATACATTCTCTAGTGCTAAATTCTAAAATATGATACTGTTAAATGAGTGATGATGTGTAAATAGTTACTTTTCATTAAAACATCTCTGACAAGTGTTTCATAGGTTTTTTGTTTTTCCATAGTTACTCAAACTGCTCCAAGGAAAGTACTGACAAAATGTGGTTTATCTACTGACTGCAAAAAAACCTACCTTTGTTTTTCAGGACGGTATATGGCAGACTGTTGATGTACCTGTGAAAGTCATCGGATCAAAGGAGTGCAAGAAACCCACTCCGCCCTCTCTACTTTTCAAACACTATTTTAATACGCATTAATTTTTCCAAAATGTTATCTACTTTGAGGCTAAACTACAGAAAGTAAATGCACTTTTGAAAGTCAGTTTGAAAACTTTTTATTACCTTACAATAGCACTGAAATTAACTTCAACACTGTCTGTAAATGATCAACTGCAATATTTGGGAAAATTTGTTGACAGTTTAGTAAATTTATATAGGTGAAGTCAAAATAGTAATCCACAGCTGTAATGAAAGTATGAAACTGTATGTTGTACTGTAAACATTAAACCTAAAATGTAGGACAGCAAGTAAGAAATATTTGAGCTTTCCATAACTAATATTCATTTTTCAGATTCTTTAATTGCCAGCTTTTAATTGCCAGTTCTTAAAGATAGCAGAGGCTAAGTTTCATGTAGTTCTTCTGTCCACCAATGCCACAAAACCAGCTGAGTTAGAGATGTATAAAGGAAAAGTAACTTCATTCCCCTGTATCATATATTATTAACATGTAAGTTGTTTTATAAAGGGGGTTTTTTCCCTAAGTGCAATGTGTTACAAAATTGCAAAACACAGCAGAGATTTCCTTCTGCAGTTGGTAGATTTTTTGGGCGTTGTGATTGCGACGCTGTAGATTTTAATTTATTTTTATATGAATTGCATAACAATTGTGCCTTTCAAAAAAGCCTGTGCCTATCCAATTTGATATTCACGTGCCTCATTTCCTTTTTCAGAGTTTAGCTCTTCATGAAGAAAGCATGATATTTGTACATACAATTTTATAAAAATTCCTTTCACTGGGATTTATTTCAAAGGCAGATTTGCAAATAATGGAGTTTGTTTTAAAAGATGTTTAAAATATTGAATTACTTCCTCATGGGGTGACCACAATAAAATGTGGCTGTAGTAAAGGGAGATGCATCATTCAGGACTCAGAAACTTTCATTAAGTAACTTTATTGTCACCAAAGATGAGAATCCTGAAAAATTACTGAAGATAGTAAAAGCAAACTCTAAAAGCAAACAGCATTACTCTTCACTTTGACTGTAAGTCTTTAGACTTTGAGTGCTTTTGGGGATGTGTAATGTGAAAGTTCTCATAGTACTTTGGGAGGAGTATTTTATGGCAGCATTATGACAAATACTGACTTGTCCATTAATTTTTTTCTATAACTACCAATTTTAATATTTCTGTTGTCATCTAATCTGCTTGCCACAGCCTAGGCAGAGGGAAGTGACACCATTAATATTTTTTAAAGCAAGTCAGTAATTTAGAAAATCTTCTATGTATTTATATTATCAAGGGGGCTTTTTTAGTGCTGAAATCAAAAGCATTGGGGCAAGATAATTCAATAATCTTCATAGAGGAATTTCAAATGAATATTTAGAGTACTAGTATCTATTTCAAATTCTCTGTTAAAACAGTAAAACGTGCTCGAGTTAATTCATGCAAAGCCAGTAGTGAAATGAACTGCTGAAGCTTTACAAGAAATTATGCCTTTGTAGAGGCTACACAAATTCTAATGTACACTACACACTTTTGCAGATGAGAATTCCATTGTTAATACTAAGAATATACTGTGCTGTAGATTTGATTGGAAGAGTATATTTGGCTCCTAATTTGCTAATCTTATTGGTGGTAAATTTATAATGCCTAAAATGGTACAGTCTTTTTACTGGAATTTAAATTGTAATCTGCTTTGTAATCAAACTGATTAATGTGACAATACTTCATAAATGAAAACCAAACTGTTATTTCAATTTCTAATCAAGTATTACTTTAATTCCTAAGTTAAATGAAGTAGTTAATGTTTCAGCACTTTTAAACTAGCCTTCATTCAGATGTTTTTACATAAATTTGTGTTGGGTGCAGGTTACAATTTTGAAGCCATACAAGTTTATATCGCATTTTTGTAAAGAAACTCAAGAACAATGTAAAAAGTACATGTAGCTATCTGATATTAAAAAGAAGTATGTAGCAAGCTGGTTCTTGCCTGTGTATACAGCAATATCCCTTGTAGCTGCCTCCTAAGAAAATTAATTTGTAAACACAACTCTAAAGGATCTGAATTTTTATGAATTGTTGCTACATCAGACTGTAAATTAGAGCATACAAGTTTATCTTACAAAAATTGTAAATACTTCAGAATTTTCATAAAATGTAAATTTTAAAAAATTTGCACCCATAATAAACATGTAATATATAATTTAAAGACTGATTTATATTGCCTGTACTTTTGCAGTTAGTTCCACAGATCTTCTAAGCAGTAAGGTAATACAACAAAACTATGCCTATATTGAACATTTTAAAAATGTTAATTAATTTTAAGTGGTAAAGGGTAGAGATAATTATGAACTCTTATATATTTAAAAACACCACAGAGAAAGTGAATGGAAAGATGACTTCTGCAAAGAGTTGCATCCTTACTAAACTGGAATGCCTGAGATGTCTATAATGGCCCATGCCTTTACTCAATTGATATGATTAACTAATAAATTAGATTAGGCAAATCTGCAGATATTTTGAGAAAAATCTCGACTTTGTAGACATGAGCTGCTCTTTGTAAATAGTGCTATCAAATGCTATACATTCCCTGTCTTTCTTAATAAGCCTATATTTTGTTGTGTCTGCAAGAAAAGAACTAGTGACAAGATTAAAGTAATTCTTCCTGATTTCTTAGGTTCCACTAGTCAAAAAGAGTAGGCAATTTACATACTGCTTCAGCAGCCCTTCTAAGCTTTGGGCATAGGAGCAAAAGTTGAAACTGAACAGATGTGCTTGAATCTGTTTGTTTCCTACTAATCCCAAGGCTTATAGAAGTTTCATAAATAATGACTTATTAAATTGACTTTCTCAGCTGGTTGAATATCACTGCAATAGAGGTAGCATCTTGTCACACAGGGAAGCAATAGTCCAAGGGCTTGATTCTAATCGTCTGCTGGCAGGCAGGAGTGAGGAATGTGAGTGGTCAGGCTGAGTGGTCCTTCTAAACCAGTGGTCTGTCTTCACCAGTGGCCAGAGAACAGGCTAGAGCCTCAGAGAGCTCACATGACATTTGCTTTCTGCTCCCCCAGGATCCTGAGTTATTTTTTAGGGATGTTAAAGGGTGCTGCCCAATTCTTTTAATATTCATTGAACTTAAAGTGCAACAGATTCGACAGAGACTGCTCTGGCATGTCTGTTAACATTTGACTTGTGCCCACGTACTCCTCATAACTACTGCAAACTGGATCTACGCTGCTCAAGCAGATTTTTGATTATTTAAGTACGTGATCAGGTAGTTTTTCAGGCAAACCTGACTACCTCTACCACTGCAAAATAACATTTATGTAGGGTATTTGGAGGAGGTAAGCTATTTGATTAAGAACTGAAACAGCAGGAGAATTACAACCGTGTTGAGTTTTGTATCTAACTGGAAAGGAAGGTCTTGAATCATGCCAAAAAGGGTGACATTTCAAGTCTTGTATGTTTGTGAAGCTTAAGATAGGCATCTTAATATCTGTGTATCTTTTATTTTCGTGGAATTGCTAGATAAATGGTTTCCATTTCAGTTGTTATGAAAGGGCAGTTTTACTTTAGAGCATTCAAGGAAAAAGTCAGGAATTCCTCCAAGGATAACATAAGCTAAAAACAGTTCAAGGTATTAAAGCAGCAGATCACATATTTACTGTATGGTGCCATTGATTGGACTGATTACCACGTCTCTCATTTGAAAACTTAATGTTTATCTTCAGCTCTACATACCATTTATTACACCATCAAATATTCCTCCTCAGCTCAGTTTGACCTCCATGCTTACTAATAGGTTGATTTTTGCGTTCTCCCTTAATTTGTTCAATAACCAATAGAAAGCATACAGTCTTAAAAGAATAAAGTAATCTTAAAGCACAAGAGGCCTCTTCTGGATTACTTATTGAACGCTTAATACTTTAATTCTGTGTTTTCTCTAGCTGCTTTCACTGCCCTCAGAATCCATTCTTTCTGGTTTAAATCTAGGATGGCTATTTTAATTATTGTAACATAAAATACTATTTTTGTTTGACATTGTTCCAGCTGTATTTGTTTTTAGAAATCTTGTTCTGTAACTTTATTATTATTATTACTGTTATTATTATTATTACTACTACTAAAACTCAGCAGTTTTTTATAAAAATTCAATAATCGTAAGACATAAATCCTGTCAAATCATTCACCACTCTGATTCAGCTTTTCCTCTTGGCATCTCCCAGGCTTCCTTCTTGGAGTTCTCATTTTCTAATTCATGTTTTCTGCTCCAGAAGATTAGCCAGTGGTAATATGTTCAGTGACAACTCAATTCTTTCTCCATGCTGGTAAAGGAAGCAGCTCATTTTTACAATTGCTGATTCTCCCCTCCAGATGTCTCCTCCTGCTTTGCTATTTGATAAGCTACTTATATAATAACCACAGCCTTCTCTTCTGCTTCCCGCTACTGTCATTGGTAGGTTATATGAATAGTCATCACTAATACAGAAATACTAAGGCTGCTCCAGTGATGACATTGCATCCAGGCCAGATGCACCAGTGCAACTTGAGAAGGAAAAAAACCCAAAACAGAACAACCCAAGCTCAGAAACTGTTATTTACCTTCCACCTGTATTGAACTCCCTTCTCTGACACCTTATACAACCATGGATTTTGACAGAGAACAGACATAGCTTTCAGCCCCAGAGCCCCTGATCTCATTCCTCAGTGCAAGTTTATCCTCCACAGGTCAGAATCCCTTGTCATATGTACACAAGTCCCTTCTTGCTTCTGAGCAGTTCCTAGATTGACAAAACATATTAAGTCCTTAAATACCTACGTGACCACAGGAGGACTGACTGTGGTCTGCCATCTCTGCAGCTGACATCGGTCTGCAGTCTCACCAATCTGTTCCTGTGGGCCAAATGCTGCCACATCTTTTCCCCTGCTGAAATCACGTTTCCATGCTCTGAGTCACTTGATAAGGAACAGTAGGCTGGATGTCTACCTAGTGAGATTACAGAATAAATTTAGTTTTATTTAAGGACTAAAATGCAAAAGATTTCTCAGTTTAAGGATTGCATCTTATACATCTAGGACAAGAAACTCAGCCTCAGACAAACACACTGTTACTCTGGCATAATTTCTCTAGGTATTATAGAGCAAACACTATACTCATAGGAGAGAGAAGAAGGAAATTACTGGGAAAAACAAACGTGGGCTCCAGTGTTCCCTTCAGATTAAGGGGGAGAATAGATATTTGCCACAACTTTCCCATAGAGAAGTTGAAATTTAAAAAAAAAGATAAAATTCAGGATGATAGGCCATTAGAGCTACTCTCTTGGAGTTTTGCAAGATGTTTGAGAAGACCTCAACCTTCTCAAAACAGAAGTTGTATCTTGAATACTGAGGGAGAGCATGGAGGATGCCTTCCCTTGTAAGAAGTGCTGCTCTGTCCACTCAGCTATGAGCTAGAACTTGGCAGTACTGCATTCAGTGCTGGGTGAGCATGGGGAGCACAGTTCACCTAAGTATCTGCCTTTGCTTATAGGCAACAATAAGTTTCCACAGGGAGAAACACGGAACCTCTACCCCCATTTTCCTGAGCAACCTTTCCAGATTGCTCAGGGTCGCAGCACTTTTGCCAGCTGATCCCAAGAGATGCCACAAAAATGCACATTAGAATTCAGAGGGTTTTGGCAAATAGCATCTTCTAGTCTCCTCTAAGTGATCATCCAGCTTAAAACAGTCCTACAGTAACCTGGTTTTGGTCAAAAAGAGTAAAACTGTAATTTGTGTTTCAGGAAGCAATTCATCCCTATGTAGGCAGCAACAGTGCACTCTCCTGCTTTTCATGCTACCGATGGTTAGGAAAAGCCAACTCTAATCACATGTTGAAAAGCAGCTTTCAAAAAATGTTACATCATTCTTTAAGTGGTGTGTGTTACCTCAACATCAGTTTATAAGCAAAAAATCTCAGTTTTACCCTTAAAGAGGGACCCCTGGTGGTCTAGTGGTTGGGATGCAGCACTCTCACCACCACGGCCCGGGTTCGATTCCTGGTCAGGGAACTCCTCCGGGCAGATGGAGCTCGTCAGCCCTGTGAGGCAATCCATCTAAGAGAAGGTCACTCTAAACAAACCTACGTTCTGAGGACCTCACTGCCACTGTCCAAGCTTGCTCAGCCCCGGCAGATGAACCTCAGGATTAAAGGGTGGGCTCAGTTCAGCGCACGCTGTGTCTCACCTAAAAAATCCACTGCGCAGGCTCGAAGGGTAATGACCTTTCCCAAATCTTCACTCGCGAAGACCCCTTAAAGAGTCCTTCCCAGCCCAGGGGAACATAGACTCAGTTATACCTCCTATTTAGGTCATCAGTAAAGGAGCAGTAGTATCCAGAAGACATGTTCTCTATTTCAACTACTGACAAAAGCCTACAGGACATTATTGTAGTGTCTGGAGCAAATCTTAAGATTCCTATGTCAAGCAGCACCAGTAGGCTACACAGAAGCTGTGAAGTATTCACTGTGCAGTCACAATAGCCACAATGCTGTCTGAACACAAGACAGATTTCTGCAACAACCCTGTAAAAGTTACAAACTTTTGGAATCTCCTGCTACTTCATTCAAATGCCCGTAGTCTGTTCTGTTGTTTTGTTGTTGTTTTTTTCTTTCCTTTCTGGAATTAAGAAAATAGTAGAATATTTTTAAGACCTTGGTTAGCGTTCATAGTGAACACTAGTCCAAGGATTGCTTACCAAGTCTGTTAAAATTCTCTTTAAGTCTCTTTTGGACACTTCCCTTTAGTTAAAGGATCTTCTATTCTCCTTAACCTTTAAAAGCATTCTTTACTTGCTCTATATCTCCACCATTAAAGTTTAGCAATGCCTTTTTCACCTTTCTACAGCAAGGTAGGTTTTGAATTGTTATTTCTGCCATTAGCTGTATTTAAAGACATTCCTGAATTGTACATTTACAATATATACACAACCAAATCTAACCAGATGTTTGCAAGTAATGATTCAAATAAATGTTAGATCACATCAGGTACATCTTTCATTTTTGTCCTTAGATGTTATTGGCTCTACAGAGAAAACTATCAGCATCTTGTACACACTCCACTGTCATGTCTATAATCCAACTATGGTAATAGTAGCAATCAGGTCAAGGTGAGGAATATGTTAAAAAATAATGTGGGAGTGTTTCTACAGTGAATAAACTGATGTCATCCT